CTTCTGTAATCTGCTATCAACTCCAAAGAATCCGTCACTGTCCACCATTTCTACCGCCCCCATCGCCTCCGTCATCGTCATCGTCTTCATCAATGGATGAAATTGACCCAAGATATGGTGTGGAAAAAAGATTAGTCCCTTCTGGTCCCAATCCTCTGCACAACTAAAAAAACAGAGCATCACCATTTTCAAGTTAAGAAAGCTCAATTCTTGGTCATTTTTCTTAAATTTCGCAGTAGAAATCCTCGAAGAAGAAGAAGAAGGAAGGAATCGATTCGCTTATGTAATCAGATTTTAATTTTTTTTTTGTTATTACTATATACTAAGTTCTTAGTTCTTGTTTTGTTTGTATTCAAGAAAATTACTATTTCCTTTTTTGTTTTTGCAAAAAACAGAGTATTTGTGTCTGATAAAAGCAGCAAAAACAAGTCTGGAAATAGTTATGATTTTAAATGTAACAGAGGCTCGAGAATTGACGTGTATTCGAATCATAGAAATTAGCTAACTAGTTAGCTATCGTCGATATGCTCATATTGATGACGTTATTATTGATGTGATCAATTTGATGTTATTCAAGAGAAGTCCATGAGTTACATTTAATTTTTGTGGTAGCTAGCTAGCTACATTAAATATAGTCATGTAAATATAGTTTCTTTATGACATGTATTATTCAACTTCAATTTAATCTTGAATCCAAGTTTTTTAATTATTATTTCCAATTGTGTTGTTGACTTTGTTTTTTTCCTTATGTTGTATGAATGGTTGTTATTCGTTATTCATTTATGAGGTCGTTTGGTAGCGGATAAAAGTTATGCAGATAATAATAATAGTAATGTATTATATTTTGCTGGTATTAGTTATGTAACATGCATAAACTAATACGTAAATACATTCCTACATTAAATATCTTCTAATTAGCTATCAAACGAGATATTATGTTTACGAGATTTAAAACCTATGTAACGCATCTTTAAAATTGTTGCCAAACCACTCATTATGGTTTACGTGGCATGAAGAAAAGGAACAAAATGTATAGAGAAATTAATCAATGTGTCAGTGAAAAGAAGTCATGCACTGCATGAGATTCCTAGGTATTGACATTTATGATTTGGTTTTTATGCAGACATCTATACTTTGGTTTTCATAAGTCTTTTTCTCTTTAACCTGTTCGATATTTATAGCTCGATTAAATTTGAATTTATATTAGAAAGTTCTACATTGAGAATAAAATGTTTTCTAGTAAAGGCATTATCATACTTAAAGGGGTTCGAACTCCAAACATTTTGGTTACGGGTAAATAAATATGTATAAATTATAGGAACCACATATTATAAGTACTAAATAACATCCTATCCCTTCTAGTTTTCTATTTACCAAAAATCCCTTAAAAATGATGTTTGCGGGATACATAGCATTGTGCACGGGATACGTTAGGTTTGATACATTTCACATAGCGGGATACATAGCGTTGTGCACGGGATACATGCAGGATACATAGTGTCGTGCACGGGATACATAGCGTTGACATTTCACATAGCGGAATACATAGCGTTGTGCACGGGATACACATGTATTGGCTGTAAAAAAGGTGGGAAATCTTTATGTATCTTACAGATTTTATTAATTGGGGGAAATAAGGGATTTTTGAAATAAGTAGGGATAAATGGATATTAAGGTAAGTAAAGGAATGTAGTTAAGTAATTTGTCCAATAAATATTTACCACTCTATCACTAATTTCATAAATCATTTTATTCGAGAAGCAAAATGTGACAAGTAAAGCTGAACGGTGAAAATATACTTTGTATTCCAAACCCATAAATGCATTCCGTGTATCTGCCTGATGCATTTATCACTTGATCATGATCTAGTGGATCCATTTTATGGTGAGTTGAAATTAAAATTGGTTCACGTTTTAAGTTAATGTTTTAACTATTTTTTTATAATTTAACTTATCATGTCATAATTTTCTTCGAAAAAAATATAAATTCAGTTAAAATAACCACTAAAGTAGTTTAGGTAAAATAAAATAAACTTTGAAAGATTAGAAAAACAACATCGAGTGAACATTCAATCAATCAACTCAAGTAAAGCAAATAGTCTTTTATAATCAAGTAAATAAGGTTGGTTGATTGTATAAAATTCAGTTAATATAACTACTAACCGAAATATAAAACAGTCTATTTGTTTCTAATTTTGTTTTAGAGTGAAACTAATATTTACGCACTATAACTAAAACAGTTTTAGCGGAAGTAAATGTGTACATTAACAAAGAGTGTGAAAGTCTTTATCAATATAAGTTAATTGATATTGAATTCAGTGTCGTTATACGCTTTAGGCCTTTAGCGGCATGTACAAAGAGTGCTAAAATGTAATTGTCACTAGTAATTGCCTCCATAAATATATATAGCCGTAATTAAGTTATTGTTATTAATTAACTATTGCTGAAAATCATTTTTAACGTAGTAACAAACTATTTTAATCTAATTACAATCTCCATTTAGCTTCTATGAAAAATATTTAAAAGATATCTACAAAAAATGTATACCTCATCTTCTTTTTTACCATCCCCCCCTACCATTCCCACACTTCTCCCCAAATGAAAAAATCATGAAAATATATTCAAAAATAAAAACTCAATTATTTTCAACGGAAAAGGTTCAAAAATACCTCTAAACTATCGGAAATAGCTCAGAATTACCCTTAAACTATATTCTGGCTCAAAATTACCCTTTTCATCAAAGTATTGGGTCATGCTTACCCTTAAAAGTATGTTAAGTGCCACGTGGATGCCACATGGACGCCACATAAGCGACAAACATTTCCCACTTCCACGTAGACTAATAAGATCCCTAATATCTAATTTTCCCCTCATTTCTCTTAAGAGAGGACATTTGAGATATCTCTTCGTAACTTTCCATCCTTGTGGTGGCTAATTCAGTCATCGGAAAGTTACAAAGAGATATCTCAAATGTCCTCTCTTAAGAGAAATGAGGGGAAAATTAGATATTAGGGATCTTATTAGTCTACGTGGAAGTGGGAAATGTTTGGCGCTTATGTGGCATCCATGTGGCGTCCACGTGGCATCCACGTGGCACTTAACATACTTCTAAGAGTAAGTATGACCCAATACTTTGACGGGAAGGGTAATTTTGAGCCAGAATATAGTTTAAGGGTAAATCTGAGTTATTTCCGATAGTTTAAGGGTATTTTAAAGCCTTTTCTGATTTTTCAATTTGACCAAAAATAAAGAGACAATGAATATAGAATAAATGTCCTGAAATGATTGTGATGATGACACAAATGATGTGGTAGAGTCATAATATAACAGTACTAGTTGGGAATGTATATATGATTCATACGAACGTTTCCAAATTTATATAAATCATAGTAAGATTTCAATCGAATTGTTACGTTACTTCAATTTATTTTGACCCATTTATTTGAAAAGTCATTTTGAATTCAATAATCAAATCATGACTCAACCTGTAAAAACGTTAAGTGAGTTGAAATTGCTTTGTCACCTTAGAGTAAGAACTAGCTCACATGAAACACTTTTTTACTTTTCATGATTATAATGAATAGCTTTTACCATGCTCTGAGGATCATAGGAAGCATTAGTCATGTGACAAGGGGTGAAGCTAGCATTTCAGTTATGAATTTGATTGAACGAATAACGTTGTATTTGTATTTTTAAAAATTATTGAATATATATAAAATTTTAATTTAGAATTTAATAACTTTAGAAGTCTAAAATTCTTGTATGCAATTTATCCCAAAATATCCAATAAGGCAGTCATCTAAAATATAATTAAGATTACGTTTAGTGCATGTGTTGACATAAAAATTATGAAAATTCAAAAAAAAAAAGGAAAAAGAAGGAAGTATTTTAGTTTTTCTTTTGATTAGTTGAAAATAGTATTTGAAAATTTGAGTTATATTTGGACATGAATACGAATTGAAATTATCTTTCAATTTTTGTGAATAATTTAAAGTAAAAAATTATGACAATAGGGGTTTTTCAAATTCCAAAAAAAATCAATATTCAATTTAAAATTGAATTCTGGAATTTTTTTTAAAAATTATCCTCATCCATACAGAAATTGGTCTTGTTAGAAATTTATAGTTGAGATAATCTTTTAATTTATTTTTGAGGGAATGCCAATTATTTTCTTACCAAACCTCATTAGAATTAACTTTCCTAGAATCGATAGGATAATATAAAAAATCGATCTCATTATTATATACAAAAAAGAAGAAGTTGTGTTTGTCTTAAATACTGCTTTTTTTTTTTTTTTAATATCTTAGATACTGCTTAATCCCAAAATTAAACCTTTTTTTATTTAAATAACATAAAGCAGGAATTTCAGACCATAAAGGATAAGTTAAATTTGTGAAAGATATAATATAGTTAAAGTAGGTTTCAACTTTATAATGTCACAATATACATATTTTTTATACCATCATAGTAAACGTATATAATAATATAATAATACGGTGACCTAAAATTGACATTAAATAGAAAAAATATATTAATATTGTAAGAATTTCTTACACCGCTAGTGGATATTATATTATTTTACTTTATTTATACTATAACCTTTAATCTTTAGATTTTACAATTATAATACTTAATAATATAAATTACCTTCTATTACGAGTCAAAATTGTTGGTAGTGTAATAATTCTTTACATTGTCAATATATTACATAAACTCAAAATCCTACTTGTAATAATAAGACGAAATTTATCTTTATCATGTTGAGTCCTATCAAAATTTGAACTCTTAATATCTCGAATAAAAAAAGAATGATTAATATTTTTTCTTAAAAAGAATCGTAGTATATAATTTAATTTTGTAGTAGTAGTCAGCTAGGATTCATAATCCTTTAGCCACTGTATTTTTTTTTCCTATATAAACGTATCAAACTTCAAATTTTTTATTACATTCTTCTTCTTGCTCTCTCAATCTTTTATTTTTATTGATTGATCAATTAAAAAAATGGTTTCAAGAAGAACTAGATTTTTTTGTTTGGTTTTTTTAGTTTCATCATGTTTTTTTAATTTGTCTAATTCAGATGAATTAAAAGTTATGGTGAAAGGAGTTACATCTATAGCCCAAACAGATGATAATTTCATATGTGCAACTCTAGATTGGTGGCCAGAAAATAAATGTGATTATAAGCAATGTCCGTGGGGAAAAGCTGGTCTTCTTAATCTGGTAAATATTTTTCGATTTTTATTACCTCTCATAGTTTTGTAGTTCTGTTTCTGTCTATAGGAAACAATCTCCCTACTTTGTTAGGAGTAAGGTATCACACAGTAAGGGTAAGGTCGACTACTCTGGTTATGTTGTTGTTATGTAATTATTGAAGAGAAAAAAAAATTAGGAGATTTTTTTTAATTTATTGATTTTTATTTTTATTTTTTTTTGAATTATGTAGGACTTGAAAAACAGGATTCTTGCAAACGCTGTTAAAGGTTAGTAGTACTAGTACTATAGTTTATTGCATTAATTTCTTTATTATTATATGCGCGCGTAAATATTTTTAAAAAAAAATAGGATACCTATTAATATAGGTCGACATAATTTGAAAATAATATTAATTTTTTTATTCTTTGAACAAGAATCTAGCCTTCAAACAATCATGTTCATTTAAATTCGATATGTTTAACGTGAATATAGATTTATCATTTATGTATAACAATTCGTTAAAATTCTAACAAATATTATATCTGAAGCTATAATTTTAATTGTACTATGAGTTTTGTAATAAGTATCTTATAACTCGAACTTCATCAAGTTTAAGTTTTGAATCTATCCATTATATTACCCTGAACAAACTAGTATTTTTAAAATTTAAATTAGAGTTTAATTTTGAAAAGTTGTCTTTTACTTGGATGTTCTCATTGTTTTCATGCCAATCTTGTTTTTACTCTCTAAAAAAAATTTTGGTAAATATACGTTATATTTACACTTTTTTGTTTTGTTTTTGCTTCTAAATAATATTTTATAATCTTAATTTTTAAATTTTAATTTTTTGCAGCATTCAATCCACTAAGACTCAGAATAGGAGGTTCATTACAAGATCAAGTTTACTACAAAGTTGGAAATTACCCCAAAAATTGCTCAAATTTTGAGAAAAAATCTGATGGACTTTTTGGATTTAGTGATGGCTGTCTTCACATGAATAGATGGGATGAATTGCATGACATGTTCAACAAAACAGGGTAAGCAAAGCATTCCGCGTTCACCTAGGGTCCTGACCCTCTAACGGGTGTAACGTGACCCCCCTTCATTCTTGGCCTTATTTTATTTTGTTCGATTCAAGAATTAGTTATGCATGATAATAAACACTAACTTATGATCAATCAAACACGATATTACTTATGCTGGATTTTATGTTGAGATTATATTTGTTAGTATAACTCCTAAACCTAAGTTTTTTTTTTTTGTGAAATTTATGCAGGGCTGCAATAACATTTTCATTCAATGCTTTAATTGGAAGAATACCATCAGATGAAAATAATACAACTCTTTGGGTTGGAGATTGGAATCATTACAATGCAAAATCATTGATGAAATACACTATCAATAAGGGATACAAAATTGACTCATATGAGTTAGGTAAAAAATAAATTTTGTGCAAAAAATCGTTTTTTTTTATTTAAAAAAAATACTAACATCAATTTTTGATAGGTAATGAGCTTTGTGGAAGTGGAGTTGCTGCAAAAATAAAGGCTCATCAATATGGTAATGATGTTAAGAAATTGAAGAAACTTGTCACACATATGTATCCTAATCCTGCTAATAGACCAAAAATCTTGGCCCCTAGTGGATTTTATGATCAAAAATGGTTCCAAGAGTTCCTTCAAACAACCGGTCCGGGCGTAGTTGATGGATTGACACATCATATTTACAACCTTGGAGCAGGTATGTACTGATGTATGTTGTTGCATTCCGAGGCAGATCCAGGATTTAAACTCTGTGCTAAAAAAATGTTTGTATTGGTACATTGTAGGTGTTGATCCAACTTTGATTGACAAACTTCAGAATCCATTTTACTTGAGTCAAATAGCTCAAACTTTTAAGAATGTTGAAAATGATGCTAAGTTGTTTTCACCATCATCTGGACCTTGGGTTGGTGAATCTGGTGGAGCTTATAATAGTGGTGGCAAAACCACTTCACACACCTTCGTTAACGGTTTCTGGTAACTCTTCATATCAAGCCTGATAACACGTGATAACACGTAAAACAAATGTTCTTATGTTAGTATTGGTGTTGTTGTAGGTACTTGGATCAATTGGGAATGACATCAACTTTCAACCATAAGGTATACTGCAGACAATCTTTAATAGGAGGAAACTATGGTCTTCTCAACACAACAAGTTTCATCCCAAATCCAGATTACTATGGGTACTTAAAACGCGATTCTCGTGATCTAAAATTTCCTTATTTCATACTAAAGTTTAGGTATCTTACATGTTTCTTGATGATATCTGCAGTGCTCTTCTATGGCATAAGCTTATGGGAAAGAATGTGCTTTCTATTACTCATGAAGGCTCTCCTTACATCCGCACTTACGCACATTGCTCAAAGACAAGTGTAAGTTACAACAACACTATCAAAGATTTCAACTTTACTATGGTCTTTTTCTGAAACAGTCTCTCTACCTCGACGAGGTAGGAGTAAGGTCTGCATACACTTTTCTTGAAAATTCTTTGTTTTTGTCTTCAGGGTATTACAGTTCTACTAATCAACATGGATAAGTCAACTACCTTTGATGTCTCTGTTGTCAATGACTTGAATATGTACGCTGAAAGTGTTGCGTCTGTTGAGTATATAAATCCAAATCCTGATAGTGTTGAGTCTATACATCCAAGAGAAGAGTACCATTTGACTCCAAAAGATGGAAACATTCAGAGTGATGTCTTGTTGCTAAATGGAACTCCATTGAAGCTCACTTCCTCATTGGACATCCCGGTACTGAAGCCTAAGCTCGTTGATCCAACGTTGCCCATCAGTGTTGCTCCTCAATCTATCGTCTTTGCTACCCTGAGAGGGTTCCAGGCTCCTGCTTGTGCATAGAGAATTCACAGAGTTTAATTTATTAGTTTAGTTTTTAGATATGGATAAATACATTAGGTCCTTCTTATCAATATGTTTAGAGAAGTTTCAGATTAAACTTTAGTTTATTTTATTGTTTTAGTAAAGTTGCTTTATATTACATTGTCAGTTTTGCTTTCTTTATTTCCTCTGTTGGTTTCTGATTAAGGAATTTGAATCTATATAACCTGAAAAGAACTCAAGATTCCTACTTTTTCAACTTTCTTGACATACCTAAAGTACCGCGGTTTTTCGAGTTTCATACCTGAGTATCCTACCTGAACTGAGGTGTGCTTTGATAAATAGTAGGTGATAGTACAAGTAGGAAACTCGAAAAAATGGGATACTTAAGGTGTGTTTTTGACGTCAACTCTTAAACGGAATTTGAATCACTTCAAGAAAAAGCAAAGCATTTAGCACAAGAAAAGAATGCTTGATAACTTTGTTTGAAGATCCAAAACCAAAGCCTTACATGCAAAGATACCTTAACTTGGTCATTAAAATTCCTTCAAAAGCAGCAAAGCTTTTATACCTGACAAAAAAGCTTCCTTTTTTCTTGTGCTTCTTCAAATAAAAAGTTTGTCTGATCTTTGAAATAGCTTCAATATAAGGCTCCATTACACAAAGAAAGAATGGATATGCTTAAGCAAATGAGGTAACGACCGTCAACTTCAAATTCTAGCATAAGAAATAACTTTTTTCGTCGTGTTGCAATTAACACAACTGTTCTAGGGTGAAATTTACCGGTATAGGAGAAGAAGAGAAAGGAAGCAGCAGCAGCAGTACAAGAGATAGAACAATACCACCACAGAAAACTCAACCTTTTAAAGGTAGTAACTCAGACTCAAAATCTAAATCATGGGAAAACAAGAACATTCTTAAAATTTAGTTTTTGTTTTGGCAGACACGAAAAGATTACCTAGCTGGTTGCACAAACAGTTTATAAGGACAATGAGTCGTGATTATGATTCCAGTGATAGCGTTGACTATCCAGCTGCGGTGGCTGCAGCTGCATTTGCTGTAACATCAATTGAAGAAAAGAGCGAATATGACCACAGAAGGACAAATAGTGGAGGTGATAAAACTTTGACAAATATCAAAAGTAAAGCAGAGGATAATGATAAGAAACCTGAAAAGCTTTCAGGTAGGAAGAAATTTCAATTGTTTTCTCGTCTTTCTTAGTTCATAAGAATCATAATAAACGAGCTGTAGATGGAACGAGGATTAGAGGGCGTGGCTATGAACCATGATGTCAGGGGTTTGAATCCCTCTTCTCCTACAACTGGTCCAAAATGAAAATACCTTACCCTCTGGGGGTAGGAAAATCGACCCTTTTCCTCTCAATAACCAATTCCAGAACAAATACACATCCTCGTGATTTCTATCCAGTCACTTAGGCATTGAAAAATTGAATTACAAAATTGTGAAATGAATAAATAAGGAAATCAAGAAATAGGTTCAACAAATAGTTTGAACCATTGGATTTCTTAGTTAAATAAAGAGGACTAGTCATTTTATTTATCATCCTAACATGTTTCGCATTTTCTTCTTAACATTTTCTTGTAACAGATGAAGCTTCAAAATCAAGTTCAAAACTTCCATATAAAAGTGATCCAATAAGGTCAACAACAATCAATCCAGAGCCAGTTAAATCTGTGCCATCTATTAAAAAGAAACCAACTTTTGGAGATAGCAAACCTGAAAGTGAAGTTGTTGAAAAGGCCAAAAAAGCTCCATCCTTTAGGAAAATGCCAGCGTTTGGAGATAGCAAACCTGAAAGCGAAGTTGCTGAAAAGGCCAAAAAAGCTCCATCCATTAAGAAAACGCCAACGTTTGGAGATAGCAAACCTGAAAGTGAAGTTGCTGAAAAGGCCAAAAGAGCTCCATCTATGAAGAGAGCATCTACATTTCCAGACCAAAGCATTGATATCAGACCTCCCAAGGCTCCTGAGGTTCCTGTTTCAGCTCCTGCTGTTCCGCCAACTAGGCAATCTTCATCACAACCAGGCATGGCTAAAGCGCCAAATACAATAATGCCTGCAAGTGGAAATTCTCAGGCAGATATTTGGGAGAAAGAAGAAATGGAGAAGATCAGAATAAGGTACCTTGTTAAACTGATGTCTTACCATTGACATCACACTAGAAAACCTTCACTTATACCCTTTTCTCCGGAAAGGACAATGAAAGTGATATACCTGCATATTGACAGTAACATTTCATTGTTCTATTTTATGAACTACTTGTTACCCTTTTACTAAGAAGAGAAGTTTCAGGTACAAGAAGCTCATACATGAAATTGTGGACTGGGAGACAAAGAAGAAGAAGAAAGCAAAGCACGACTTGGAGAAAGTTGAGGTTGATTCTATCTTAAATTTCTCTTATAGTTGATCTTCTGGAATTCATTTATTTACCAACCACATACTGAATGAAATTACAGGCTGAACTATTATCAAATGAAAAAATGAAATTACAGGCTGAATTAGACAGGCGTAGGGCAAAAGCCAGGAAACATTTCAACGATGAGGTTGGAAGGATTGAAGGCATTGCAGGAGGGGCCAAAGAACAAGCAGATCAACATCGAAAGAACGAAGAGCTAAAGGTGATAGAGAAGGCAAATAAGATCAGAGTCACTGGAAAAATGCCATCAACTTGTTCATGCTTTTAAAAGTACCATTCATAAGAAATCTGTAAAAAATGTAAATTGGTAGATCCAACTTTAACTAAATTTGTTGGAAAAACATGCAAATATACTAAGGCACAATACTCACCATGTATAAGCTTTCATAAGATCATCACAAATCAATAGTGATGTCAAGTTGTAATCCTCTGGAGGGAAATAATTATATCTCAATACAATTTTAGTAGAAAGAGCAACCCCACGATATCATTCATCCATTAACAATAGCAGATACAAACTTTGAAGGAAAATTAACCTTTACCTCCACAAAAACCAATAACTATTTACACCATCTCTTGATATGAAAACTAAGATCAAACTGATGAGACATTGTTTACTAGTGCAAACAATACTATGTATTACATCCTCGAAACTCTAAGAAATAATTCTCAAACAAATTGAACAGAAATACTTCAAGAAGTAATCTCTCTCACCAGCCAATCTAGAGCAGGATAAGCGAAGTATATAACTAGCAAAGATGGAAGTCCAAAGAGAATTGTGATCACCAGGTATAGAATCAAGATGCCCACACTGGAAGGTATCACAAATATAACAACCAGAAGAAGTACAACAACCAACGGAAATTTGGATGTCAACCGGAAAAAGAAATCAAGGGACTTCTGAAGAGAAAACTGAGTCCTTTGCATTGTAGGGGTATCATTTGTATTGCTAGGACCACTAGTGCCAGACCCCGAAGAGTCTATACGATGAGCCCTCCTGCAGTTCATGACAGAACTCGGGGTCCTGGTATTTGAAGTACAAGGGGAGGAGCACATTAATTGATCCCTGTATATGGCAGACGGAGACTTCATCCTGTCACCATTTCTGCTCTCCACCATCCAGAGGAGGAAGAAGTTCTTGCTAGGAAACTTGAGATTTCCCTGGTAAAACAATCTAAGTGTCAACAAATTACACCATGGGCAGGAAACAAACAATGGAATCTGGATTTGTTGGGTGGATATCTTCACGGAAGCCGATTTAAGTCCCAACAGACAATTTTTACAAAGAGAGTGGCCACACCACAATACATAGGGAACATTCTCAACAATGTTAAATGATTCCCAACATATTGGGCATTCTAGTCCTTCCTCAGTGCTTTCATTAGAGCGGATATCATCGTCATCTGAGTACTCATGACAAGTTTGACTGGGCGTAGCAGAATCCTTTTTCTGACCAAAGCTTGTGATGACATTTGAAATGGATTTCCACATAGAGACGGAACACTAGTACAATAAGGATCTCAGAGAAAACACTTTGTTCAATTCAAAGCACCTCTTTTGAACCTGAAATATAGAATTTAAAAAATGTGACGTTTATCATCCATCTCTAAGAAAACAACTATGAAAAAGAGAAGAGCTGATGTTTGCACGCCTCATAAACAGCAATCACAGCCCCCTCCGATAGTTTTCAACAGAAATAATGAATAGCTTCATATCATTATGTATCAGCAAGAAGAAATTAGTTTTAATATTCACTAAATTGCTAGAAAAACAAAGCATCTAGACCCCCTCCCATCCAAAAAGAATACCTGAAATGGACTCTATTTTCCCTCCAAGTGGTGAAATTGTAACTAAGGTCAAACTTATTCCTCCAAACGAACCCTTTCGATGGTATGAGCAGATGGGCTATCGACTGCTATGTTGGCAGAAAAGGAGATTTTTACTGGTTTCTGCACCTTTGGTACTAGTCAAATCATACTCTTGACTGCACATTCAACCATTCATCTTAACATTCAAATCCTTACAACCATAGTCCTACGGATATTTTAGTGCTTAACTCCTATAAAACATCATGGGTTCACAACATTCTATAGAACTTGCCTTTCATTTCGGTAGATATCATCTAACCATATAACACTCCTGTAGCAATCCTCCATTCAGTCATCCTATTTTAATTTCATATATTATGTCTTCGTCTAAGAAAATAGCACCACCATTCTCTAAATTTCTACCTTATAATTTGTAATCATAATTCAGTTCTAGTTTCACCATTGTTGCCATAAATTGTGGTAATTTACCGGATATGCATACATCAATGTACTCCTCAGGTATATAGTTAGAATGTATCCTTTCACAACAAGATTATCCTTCAATCAAAAGGAGATATCTTGACACTAAAGATTCAGCTCTTGGGTAGTACTCCTTCAATCAGTCCAGTTTCGAACACACTCTTAAAGGAGGAAAAAACGACCTTGGCCACTCTAGCTCATTTTATTATAACAACAATGATGATGTCATTATCGCAAGTTAGTCAGGGTCGATTATATGTCTCCTCACAATTATAGAACTTCATTCAGACCCGAGAAATTTGACATGTACAATTAGATTCTCTACATTTTCTACTAGCATACGAATCTCTAACAACACTAAAAGCCCCCTAGCAAAAATTAGACCAAAATTTACTTTTTTTTAAAGATTTTACCATTACCTATCCCCTTTAACACATTCCATCACCATAGTTTCGCATCTATACACCGATGCATTAAGAGGTCGATGTTGAACATGACTAATCATCTCAAACGACCTTTTTTCATTTCACTCTTTATTTTTGCTACTTGCATATTCTGCCAAACATGATCATTTCTAATCATATCTAATTTTGTACAACTGCACATTAATTTTGAAAATGATGACAGTCGTAGGGGTAAACTTGCGTACACACCACCCTCCCCACACCCTACTTGTGGGATTACACTGTGTATCTTGTTGTTAATGACAGCTATGGGATCTGAAGCCATGTCCTTCCGGAACCAGAGCCTAAATTTGACACCTTAAACCACTCTAGTTCATTTCACACTCCCAAAATTTACTAATCCAATGACAAGAACTGATTCAAACAGTCATTAACAAAATACATAGCATTACAGGCACACCAGCAAAATTTCAAAAATCAAAACTTTTCCTTTATAAACTAAAATTAAAAACATAAAACAAGAGAAACCACACTAACAAAGCTCCAAACCCCCAAAAAGGGGTTAAAGCTAGAATCTTGAATTCCAATTTCCACAATACTTGGCAAATCAACAAACATTCCATCAATCACAAAATACCCACAAAAAAATTCAACCCCACAAACAGATTCATCCATCTCACATGTAACAAAAATTCCAAAATACAACAAATCCATAAAGTTCATAAAAATCCAATCTTGAAATCAAACAACCATCAAAACAAGAATTTTTTTTTTTATTGCAGAATCAGAAATGTAAGATTCAAGAAAAGATGAACTTACTTGAATTAAAAGATGATTTTCAGAAATTGCCAAAAAAAATTATACAGAAAGAGAAGAAAAAGAGAGACCAAAGCAAATAAAAACGGGATTTTTTTTGTGTAGGTCTCTCGTTTTCTTTCTTTCTTTCTTTCTGTATGTCTGTATTCGGAGAAAACTGTGAGGAGATTTTACGTGGGACTATACTGTAGATACCAGGTAGACAAGTGGAATGTTTTTCTATTAAAAAAAATATATTTTTAATTTTGATAAAACTTTTTTTTATGTTTTGTTTTGTTAGGAAAAATTAGTAGGTGTAGGAGTACAATTTTTTCTTGTGTTGCTATTTTTGGAATTTGTTGAAGAATGGATTTTTGCTATATTTTGATTAATATCTACTTTGACGGCTAAACTTCATTAAATGTGGGGACAAATATATTATCGGTTAAATTTCTTTCAATTTTACGTAATGTATCAAAATTATATGAATAATGTATATATATATATATATATATTTTTTGTGGAGAGGTTAAAAAGAATAATGCAAAACATTTTGATTCTTTGTTTCATCATGGCACACACCCCGACTACCACCATCATAAGCACCTTCCAGCTAAGAGGATCAGAAAATATCTTTTCGTCATACAATTTTATAGATTCGTATTTTTTAAATAGATGAATTTTTGTCATTCATTTATCATGTGACGATCATCTTATGATACGATAAGCATATTATGTTGTGATATTTATAGACGGGAAAATAGCTTTTTAGTCTTGCTTATCCTTGAGGAACTGAACTTCCTTGAGATAAAAAGTAAAGTATGAGGTAATAGACAATTAAGAAAAGATTATATTTTTAATACTAAGTTCTATAAATAAACTGACAAAACATTTATTCACGGATTTTGTTATAGTTTTTGTAGTTGCATAGCAATTTTATGGTTGGGTTGATTAATTACTTGCGTGTTAAGTTCTTTTCATCTAAATGGTTGTATGTCTCTGTAATGTATCAATTTTGTATAAGCAATATATAATCATGCATATACAATGCATAACTATGTATCAGTGATGTATATTAATTTATATACGTTATTATACAATATTTATATTGCAGTAGTTCATCTTTATCAATAAGCTGAATTTTTTTCTATTCTTGACCAGCTCAAATCTCCTTTAAATAGTTTTAGATTTTAGTTTTGAGTTCCTTTCAACATATCGGGTCTTTCAATATATGATTCACTCAAAACAATATAAGAAAAAGTGATGTAAATATCAGAATTTAGACTTAGCACAAACTTCATTGGTAGACCACAACTTCATTAGAAATGCAAAATGATGAATACCCACTTAATTATAAAATGACTTCAATACATTATTGAATTTATTATATTCATATTATAATTATCATTTTATCTATTATTTTTTTAAAAGTATATCAAATTAATTACATAAGTCACGTTACTTTTAAAGTTTTTATAGCCAAATTTTTTTTGAATCAAATCAAAATTATATATATTCTACTACTTGACATGTACATTAATATTTGCATGGCAACTCATAGCCACACTGTACATGTTACCATTATTACAATTCAAATCAAACTATAGCTAAAAATCCTAAAAAAAAAACTTTAGGAAAGAAATCAAAACAAAAGAATTGATCAACAGATGATGATATTCTATGTTACAATTAGTCTATACTTCTTATTATTACAATAACAATAATAACGTATCTAGTATAATCTCATAAATATTATTATTTGAAAAAGCTTCCAGCCATCTTAAGATAATCTGTTTTGTTCCCATCTTTCTCATTAGAATGTTTGGTGGGGCTACGATCGCCATCACGGTCGTCGGAATCTTTCTTGAACATACCTTGAGCCATTTTCATGACCCCACCCATCCCACCTCCAGAATCTCCATCCTCACCCCTTGGACTTCCATCACCGTTGTCCGACTTTTTCTTGAGAAATCCTTGAGCTTTTTTTATATAATCGCCATACCCTCCACCAGATTCACCATCACCTTTCTCTGGATTATCATCATCTCCAGATTTTTTCTTGATCATTCCTTGAGCTTTTTTTATGTAATCACCATACCCCCCTCCAGAGCGACTATCATCTTCATCTGAATGTTCATCATGTCCATGGCCCCCAGATTTTTTCGTGGGCATTCCTTTACTTTCACCACGTCCAGATCTCGAGTGATCATCATCATTTTCCTTTGAACGTTCACGGTTGTCACGGTCACCAGATTGTTTCCTAGGCATTCCCTTACCTTTCCTTGTGTGCTCGCCATACTCATCTCCGGAATGATCATCACCTTCCTCTGAACGTTCATGTTCATGTCCATGACGGTCACCAACTTGTTTCTTAGGCATCTCTTTACCCTTTGTCATATGTTCGTCGTGGCCTATGATATCATTAAATAATATGATCATTATACATTCAATTTAGATCAAACAAAGGTCCTCTTTTCAAGATTTCATCATCACTCAAAAAGCAAAAATAAAATTATTATGTGTTTGGTCAAGAAAAAAGAATAAAAAAATTGTAACATATAATACAATCAACTTAGGTATCTAACCGCTTAAGCTTTTAATATAACAATGACATGATATACATACTCACCTCTAGCACGATCATCATCACCTTCCTCGCGATCATGACCGTAATTGTCACCAGATTGTTTCTTTGATGGCATCTTCTTCTCTTTCCTGGCATGCTCTCCGCGCTCATCATCATCATCTTTTGCATTGCCCCGTGGGCGGGACTCCGATGAGTTCTTGCGCTCCGCATTACTGGAAGTACTTTTTTTGGATCCAGCACCAGCACCAGCTTTGTTGGGTTTCACATTCTTAAGCTCGTAGCCATGGAGATAATCCTCAGCTTGGCCGATATACTTACCGATTCCATCATCTCCTAGTTTCCCGTAATGGGTAGCGGCCGCAAGGAGGTCAGCGGCGGCTCCGGCAAGCTTTCCGGTGTCCAATTCTTCTTTTGGCTTGCCCTCGCCTCCGCCACCTAATTGGGACTGTGCAGCTGCAGCCACCAACTTCGCGCTAGCCATTAGCTCAGAGGTTGTTGGTTGTTTGTGCTCATTTGGGTTAGGAGCACCGCCTGCCGCCATCTTACCACCACGACGGCCGGCTCCGCCGGTCTTGACGCCACCACGGCCGGCGCCAGCGGGCCTCTCGCCGTCACTGTCGTCGTCCGACCGGCCACCACCTCGACCGCCGCCGCCACGGCCGCCGGACTTGACGGAAGTTTTCCTCTCAGGGCGGTCATCGGAATCATCCACGTCATCATGATGTTTTGTTCGATTGGAAGTTTCTTTGTCATCATCTTTATCTTTGGAACTAAGAAATTCTTTTCCTTTAGCAAAAAGGGCATCCATAATTTATTTTTTGTTTTAGATAATTAATAAGAAAATTAGTATAGTAATATTACAAATTGAAGCAAATAAATGTGATTCAAATGAAAAAAAATGATAAATGTGAAAATTTATATGAAAGCTTTCGAGATTTTTACTGAAAAAATGAGAAGTTACACAAAAGTTTCGTAATTTTATGGGTGTAGAGTAAAACTTATACAAGTGAACAACGATTATTTTCCGCATAACACTAAGGTCCCTTCCTCAAATTAAAAGAATAAAAAATGGATTATCTCACAATTAATATTAATTAGTACGCATTGAAATGTTGTCAACAAGTTCTCTTTATTTCTTTCTTAAATACTACGGTAAATCAAATTATACTTTTTTGATTTCTCATTTAGTGTGATATTCATATTTAAATTTGTGTTGAAAAAATCTTATGTAGGCAAATTATATCAAGTAAATTATGACGTAAGAAGTAATTCAAGGTTAGACGTGTATAAAAATAGACCAAGAAAAAAGGAAAATGGAAAGTTTAATTGAAGGGCTAATATAGAAAGAGCGTGTTTAAGTTGCTGCCTAACACTTGCTATAAATAAACCGACAGTATTTTTATGGAAAGCTTTCCAAAGATATAATGATTCTTGTCAAGGCTAGCTTTTGCTTTTGTTATTATTTTAGATTTAAAATTAGATTTAGCACAGATAGAGAATATAAAGTTTCTACTAATAATTATAATTTTATTCCCTTTTAAGACAAAGAAGATGTATAATTTAAGATGTAATTTAAACAAGTTCAAATATGTTGTGTAAATGAATAATCGATTTGTAAACACATTCAACTCAATTAATATATAAGATAGAGATGATATAGAATGATGATTAGATCAACAAATATGAGATAAAGTGATGATCAGTTAAAAAAAAATTAAATTCAGAAGATGTAAATAACAAAAATAAAAATGTTGAAATGGATATGTGGACATACATATACTAGAAGCAATTAGATATTCGAAGGTCTTGAATTTGTTATGTTTGATATCACTTCTTATTGTTTATAATATTTTATGATTTGAAGATCTATCAAAAATAATTACTTTATTCGATTTATAAAAATGATCTAATTTGACTTGACACAAAGTTTAAAAAAATAAAGAAAATTTTGAATCTTATGGTCTTAAATTAAAGTTATGTTAAATGTACAAAAATGTCTTTTAATCTTATGACCTTAAACATGTCACGTGGAAAGTTGAAATCAAAATATTATTAAAAAAAAAAAATTATTCTTTTTTAAACAGATTAAAAAAATAAACGGAAGGAGTATCTCTCTTCTTTTCGCAAAAGCAAAGAAGATATCACTAATAAATTCAAACAAACACAAACTTCACGGTAAAATCACACTGAAATACACACAACTTACATACATATTTTATTACATAAATCCAACTCCGGCGCCGGCGCCGGCAGTGGACAGTGGCAAATTAAGGGGAAAAAAAACTGAAATATAACATCAGCCATAATTAAAAGCATAGACCATAATTAAAAAAAGCTAATTAGACTCTAATTACTTCTTGCCTAAGAAATCACCAGCCATCTTAAGATAATCAGCTCCTCCACTTTTTTTTTCCTCCTCCTTGTCTTCTTCAACAACCGGCGCCGGTGCTGGATCCGATGCCGGAGCCGGAGCCGATTCCGGTGCAGGAGCGGGTGCTTTTGCTTCTTCAGCAACCGGAGCGGCGGCCGGAGCCTTATCGCCACCGTACTGGTGGAGATAAGTTTCGGCTTTCTCAACGTACTGTCCAATTCCTTGAGTTTCGTCTAATTTTCCATATTTCTGTGCAGCGTTGAGGACATCGGCAGCTGCTTCAGCTACTTTTTTGTTATCAATTTTGTCGGAATCTTTGTTGAATTGACTTTGAGCGGCATCTGCTAACACTTTAGCACTGGAGAAAAGCTCTGTTGTGGAACCAGATTCCTCGCCTCCGGCTTTTTTCTCATCGCCGGCTCCGGCGCTCTTAGCCAAAGATGAGAGAAAATTCATGATTGTTTTTAGAAGAAAATTGAATTGTGTGTTTATGTGTATGAGATATGATTTGAATAGTGAGGAGGTTGTATATATAGAGTGTTTCTAAATAGTTATTTTTCATTACTCTCCTTCTACCATGTATTTGAATTTGTTCTACTTGAGCTTCACGACAAATTATTAGTTTTATCTTTAAATTATTGATAGCTTTAAAAATATCATTTTATTTGATTAACTGAATTTAAATATATCACAGATTTTTTATTATGAGTAAAATACAATCCTAAATTCTCATCAAGTTTAGTGTTTCAACAAATCTTTCGACTTTTTATTAAGAGTTTCATACTTTTACACGAGTTTGAAACCACTTTTTATGTCATGTGACAGATCAAAGAAGTGTATCTAAATTTAATTAATCAAGTATCAGAGTGTTTTTAAAATTGTTAATAATTTAAAGACGAAATTAATAATTAACATTAAATTCAAAAATGTTTTTAATATTTCGAGAATAAATGGATGATAGTGAAGATTTTTTTTCTTGGGCTTTAATGGGAAGGTGGTGTGAACTGTATGAACGTGTCTAATGGGCCCCCACTCTTATGGAGGGGCCAATTAAACGTGACTGATCCAAATCAAGAGAGGTGTCGGCCACACACATTATACGCGATTTTTCCTCAAATAATTAAATTGCTTTCAACTACAAATAAAGTACTATCAAATTAAAGTCTCTTGATATTAATTAATGTTCATTAAAGACCATTTAATTGTCTATCCACTACACTTCAAGTCTACAACTACTCCCAAATTACTTTTACACCCCATCTTAACCATAACATATCTCGTATAATTCTATAAATCGAATAATGTATAGAAATATTTAAAAAAAATGTACAAAAAATTTGATAACTAGTTTAGAAATTTTTTCTCCTACACACCTTGACGTTATGATAGGATATATTAGAAAACACAATATTTGTATTCATTATACTATTGTCTAATTATTTGTTTAATAGGATTTTAAGATAGAGATTAAATCTGTATATATCTTTTAAAGTAACTATGGTGAATATATCATTCGTTTTCATATATATTACAAACTAATAATACATTTAGTGATAGCATGGCACGACAAGAAAAAGTAAATGTGATGATGGTGAAAAGGAACTCGAGATGACAAATAATTAAAAATATATATTTATATTAAATTTCTGTCGGCAGAATATACTATAACGATGCCACAAATTTTGGCCACTCCTTTTAATTATAACATGCATCATGTATAAACAAGGACAATTATGATTTGGTGGATAGAATTCATTCAGTACTTTACCTTTATTATAGATTTGAGTTCGAATCTTATTTTTATAAAAAATCTTGTTATCGAATACTTTTATTTTAAATAAATCTTAATCAAATTTCAATACGAATATGAAAGTTCTAACAGGAAACAAAGATATTATTCATTGTGACACAATGGCCCCATAGTTATTGCTTTGCAAGGTTGCCTCATCATTAGGATACTTTATTTCAATTTGACTCCATAAATGAAGGATTCAACTTTCTTCATTTGAATTAACAAATAAATAAATAGGCAACACCTTATTATATTGTGTTGTTTGTGTCCGGTTGATCACGAAGTTTTAAAAATCAATTTTAAAACCTATAGTATAAATAAAAATAAATCATATATTTGAGTAGTTATGTATTATTCATTTATTAAAAGTATAAGTAAAAAATAAAAAAATATTTATTTTTAATATAAAAATATGTTTTTTAGATTAAAAATAAATTGTCTCACATCAAATTGTGACAGAGGATTTTAGACGTATTTGATGGATTTTTAGGATCTCTTATTTTCATACTTCGTTTTTTTTTTTTTGAGGCAATGAGTATAACAATATTATAAATATCAACTTTGCTAAATGACATTTTAAAAAATGGGGATTTACAACTTGCTAAAGTCGAGTCAAGTCACTCCTTCAATACAAAAAGGATGTGGCCCGACTACGAGGGTCCCTATAAACTTTAGAGAAACTTACGTAAATAAGTTATAGTTTGAATTATAATTATTATTAATAGATATAGTTTGTATAATTATAATTCATAGCAATAGTTTGAGAAAAGAGAGAGACAGGTGAGATTCGTGAGAGAGAGGAGAGATGTTAGATACATAGAATGTATTCGATGAATATAGATTGTATCAAAAGGAATACATGTTGATACAAACTATATTTGATACATACATGTTGTTAGAGGGAGAAGAGAGATGAACACGATTTGCAAGAGATGCTAGATCTCTCTCTATGTCTATGTGTATATATAGTGTGATTTTTTATTGAAGGAGATTCGAATGAACCTGTTTTGACGCAGTTATATTTTGTATTGATCCAGTTATTTAACGGTCACTATCTTATATATCCTTCCACAAATACTTAAATTGGAGGAGTATTGAGTAAAATCAATCAACATGTTATAGAAACTTTAGCTACTTGTAAAATACGTTAATTTTCCTTAATTCTATTTCTTTATTATAACGTTTGTTTATTAAGCTGATAATTAGGCCAATTTTAGGAATATTAAACTATAGGTTATAACATTAATGATTTTGAAAATATGACAACATAGTATCCATATATTCTCCCTTGTGTTGATAGAATGACCACATTGTGATGCTCTAATTTGTTCACAAAAAACACTATAAATAAATGTCAATTTATGTTGATATATTCACATTATTAATATGATGATGATGAACAATGGTGAATCCCCAGAGGAGTGTGCCTGGAAACACAGGTGCATTTTGGTCCCTTTTTTTTTCAATTGCTGGACCAAAATATATTTGTGTTCTCAGGTCACCCCTTTGGGGTCACCTTGTTTTTTGTATCGTATTTTGATCTTATATAATGATAGTAATTATTTAAATATATTTGTATTCATTATTTATAGATTGTAATATTTTTTACTCTTTTATGAGCATCTTTGAATATTACTTGATCGATTAAGGTATTGTCATTATGTTACTAAAATTTTCTAAAGTTTCTTATACTTATAATAATTTATTCATATATTAGATGCAGCTAAAAAGGTCATTTATCTTAAATAGTGCATTAGCCGTAAGAAAAAGATGTGTCGAATACAATCACTCATTCGTTGAGCTGGTCAAAATTGAGACGTATCGATATATTCTTTATTTATTTTTATCGAAAATTTCATTGAAGAATTGAATTTCGTCAACTCTAGCACCATCAAGGAGTTGATGGAATTTTTTTTTTTATTTCCCACTGTTGTTCAACAAATTTATTTATCGATATTTTAAGAAATTCTAATAATGTTCTCATAAATTCATTTGTATTCACTTTTTTTTTGTTCATTTGAAAACGATATGTTACATGACGAGCAGCTCGGTGCACTAATAAGCTCCGTTATATGCAGGGTCCGAAGAAGGGCCTGACCACAAGGTAAGATTAGAGCCTTTGTTAGGGAGGTCGGACTTCAATGCGTGTAGCGGAAAAAATGTAAAAGCAGAAGAAGAAGGAGTAGGAGTGTAAATTCCCATATTACCCTCCATTTCATCTCAAAACTACACATCGGCAAATTCAGAGTCTTCAGTTTCAAAACCCCACCGGCGCCAGCTAAAACCCTACTGACACTCTACCGTCCGTACAAATCCCGGCGAAAATGGAATCGGAAAAATCCTCAGCTCAAATCAACGACAAAGATTTGTTCAAAGCTGCTGAATCTGGTGATTCATCGCTCTTCAAATCACTTCCCGAAGAACAGCTCCTCAAATCCCTCTCTCTCCGTAATGAAGATGCTCGTTCTCTCCTTCACGTTGCCGTCTCTTCTGGACACACTGAGGTCTTTCAATCTCACCTCAATTTCAGTTTTTTAAGGGCTTCCGAGCCCCCTTTGGCGAAAAATTATATTGTAAATACAATGTCAAAATTATTTGTTATGCATATATAATAGATATTGAATCTCGTCTGTGTATTTAGTTCTTCATGTTTTTGAACACCTTTATGAAAATACTGGTTCGGGCCCTGTGCTTTTTGAGATAAACTTGAGTATTTTGAGATTAGGACTCTCCTGGTATCTACATATTTGATGTTTAACCTTGTCCAAGATTCAAGGTTTGTGAATTTCAACCAATATTTTGAAATACATCTTTGCAACAATAATAGGATGTACGCACACCTTAATCGGGTCAAAAGAAGTGTAATCAAAGTAGGATTGAAAGGAAAATAAGGATAACAAAATAGCAAGATAAGCAAAGCAAATAAAGCAACTTGTAGTAGTAAAAGGGTGGGATTGAAATGAATCTTTCTCGGCAGTCAGCGAGTGTGCACACGCCAAAACTAATCCTCTTGTTTTAAAATGTATCATATTCTATGTTTCTCGGACTCTTCAAAAATGTTGTCAGGGTTCGTGTTGGATCCTTCAAACATTGTGTATTTTTGGAGTATCCAACATGGGTGCAATAACATTTTTGGAGAGTTTGAACAACATAGATCATATTACCAATTTGATACAGAGAATTGTAACTTATTGTACTTTTGTGTAGTAAAAGATGAATTAGTCTAGCCATATCTAGTTCTGGGAGTTAGTCGAATTGACTTTCAACAAGGGGAAGTTATTTAAAAAAATATTTGGTTAAAAGGGGGACTGACTGATATAAATCACATTTTTTTTTCGACATTTGGTAAATCATAGTAAAAGAATTTTATGTTTGATTCTCCACGTAGAAATGAAGTCAAACAAATTGGGGGAGAGAGAGAGTGTGTGTACAAATTTTATCTAATTCCTGAATGTGATGTTTATAAAGTTGAATATCGGGGTTGATGTAATAACTTTGTGAAATTTGGGTTTTGGTGATGGCATTTAGGTGGTGAAGATTCTTGCAGCTGCTGATCCCTCAGTGAGTGGTATAAATAGTGGTGATGAAGAAGGTTGGGTGCCGTTGCACTCTGCAGCAAGCAGTGGTAATGTGGAAATTGTGGAGATTTTGCTTAGCAGAGGTGAGTAGTATAACAATTTGCGTTTTGTTCTAAGCTGAACATTTTATCTATGTCATATAAAGGTTTTATCTTTACAAACTTCATCAAAAAGATTCTATCTTTACAAAACTGGAAACGATATGTCAAAATGAAAGTAAAAGATCCGAAAGATTTCTATGCATATAAGAGAATGGTTTTCTATAGAATTTCAACCTTTTGGAGTTTAATTAATTTGTGTGCAATAATTCCACTGACTTGTGGATTTGAAGGAGTAGAAGAAATTGAATTGATGTGCTAAACACATATGATCATGGATGTACAGTTAAAACTATAGCATTATTGAATTTTCCCTATGTTCATTGCTATACCATCATTTGCTCTGTTATACTCAATGGACAAGGTAGTAGTAGATCTAGCTGGCCATTACTATAAAAGCTATTCGACATCAATGGTATTATTGATTGTTAATTTATATACAAATCTTTTGCATTTTTCCCACCTGACATCGCAGTGGTCAGTCATCTAGTAATCAAATGATTCACAACAGAAACTGAATTGTAACAATTTGTGCTTTTTTGCCAGTCCATCTACGCATTCGTGAATTTCACTAACCTGTGAAAGTGTACCTGCTTTTGTCAGCATTGTTTAAAAAGTTTCAATGAATTCAGTTCACTCATTTTAATAGTTGAGCCATGAATTTGTGATGGTAAATGTGAATATATTTGTAAATAGGGGCTGATGTAAATCTGAAAAATGATGGCGGCCGCACTGCTCTTCATTATGCTGCTAGCAAGGGTCGAGCGAAAATAGCTGAACTTTTGATTTCACATGGTGCTAAGATCAATGCAAAAGACAAGGCTTGTAATCTTATGCTTTGGACTACTCATCTTCTTGAAAAGCTTAGTATGGTTAAAATTATATTTGAAAGTAAGGGTGTTCATAACTTCTTGCTTTTGGTTTTATTAACATGTGATATAGGTAGGATGCACCCCATTGCATCGTGCAGCTAGCACTGGGAACTCTCAGCTGTGCGAACTATTAATTGAGGAAGGTGCTGAAGTTGATGAAGTTGACAAGGCAGGGGAAACACCTTTGATGACTGCTGTTGTATGTGGCAATAAAGAGGTAATTATGCAGAACTTATTTCCTTCACAGGAGTTAAATGTCTTAAATCTTGTTCATGAGCTATATGGATCGAAAGGATCATAAATATCTGACAAGTGAACAGTTCACAGATCCCACCCCCTCTTTTTTTTTCTTTTCTTTTTTCCGTGTGTGTTTGTGAGATAAGGGAGATCGTCTTTTCTTGAAAACTACATTACGGGACAAACAGTGACACATTGTGATTATGTTTACTTGACAGGTAGCTTTGCTCCTCATAAGACATGGAGCAGATGTTGACGTTGAGGACAAGGAAGGGTACACTGTTCTTGGTCGAGCTTCTAATGATCTTCGCCCAGTATTGGTTGATGCTGCAAAGATGATGCTCGAAGGATAAACTCCATGACCTTATAGTAGCCCATCAGAAAATGCAAGCCAACTCTGTAAATGTTCAACATGAAGCGTGCTCAGCTAGATACAGACCAATGAATATCTTTCTGAAACTCTTTTAGTTGTATGGGAGGAAATCTAAATGATGTTCTGACTACTGTATTGTTTTCAACTAACTTAAACAGATATGTTCACTCCTTGAGGAAACAATATGTTGATATATTGAGTTTTAAAAAAAGCCTTGTTGAAGAAGACTTGAAGAAGGTTTTGGTTAGAATTTATCCATTGAAACTTGTTAGGATTGGTATTAAAATGTTGAATATAAATTTTGGATCAAATTTTGAAGTAAAAAATATGTTGGTGAAATTTCTTATGGTTGGTTCTATTTGGTCCTTAATATAACGAGAAAATAATATAAAGGACTATTTCAATCATGTTTGTATATTAAGGACCAAAAGGAACCAAACGATCAAAATGGTCCTTAATGTATAGTTTTTGGTTCCATTTGATCCTTAACTGATAAACATGATCAAAATGGTGTAGAGATTGGTACGTAACGTAGTTAGAGAGATTGCATCTGACTGACCCCGAGGCTCAAGGAAAAATGAGCAAAGGAAATACATTTGTTCTTCTTTAAAATGGTCCAACTAACAAATGATGGCCCAAAGCCCAACAAGATAACTAACACTTCCATTTGGTTGAAATGAAATGATGGCCATTTGTTTTCTTATGCTTCCCTATCTTCTTCTTCTACTTTTTGGTCTAGTGGAAGCAGAGCAAAAGCAGAAATATGACTATGGCTACTCATATTTCTCCAATGGCATCAATGAAGCAATTTCCTTCAACTACCTTCAATCTCCTTCAACCATTCCCATCAGTCTTTCAAAGAAAACCAGCACTAATTTCTTCACTTAGAAAAACTCCTCTTCTTCTCTCTTATTCATCTCCATCCCCTTTCGAAAACTTCACATTTCCCAAGTCATTCGTTCCGCTTTCTGCTTGCCTTGCTATTCTTCTATGGTCCTCTCCTGGTAATGTTAGCTTGATCAATCTTTATTTTGCCCCTTTTGTTATGGTGCTATTGTTGTTTACATAGTTTTGATGTTATATGTTTGAGCTATGATTATATAGGCGGATATAGAATTTGAATTTTAGGACGTATCATATAACCATTCCATCTAATTTGACATTAGTTGGTGGACAGAGTTACCTGGTACTCATTAAGCCCCACATTAACTTCACATTAATCCGATGTGGGACTCAAGTTCCACACCTTGCAATAGGATCATAAGAAATCACCATGCTTGTGTGTGTTAGACCATTTCTAACCCTGGGCCAACTCTGCAATACCAATGTCACCATCCAAAACATGACAGACACGAAGGGTGGTGGGCGTCTCTGATACCATTGGTACAATCCAAGGAGAACCACACCTCAAAAGCAATGTAGGACTTAAAGTCTCGTACCTTGCAATAGGATCATAACACGGACCTAGCATATATTTAGAGCCTCTCCATAACAGGCTTCTTAGTCTAGTACAAGGCTTACACTACTGCCAACTCATAAATGGTAACAATGAACATTTAGGTTTGAGGTTGCTAACCTTCTTTTCTTTCTTTTGAAATGTTTAGTTTGTTTTCCTTTACTAGTTGTACATTAAGATATTACATCAACACTAGAAACTTCAGCTAATGGAAGTGTATAAGCTTAGCAAGATGAAATAGTATAAGCTTGAGATGCAACGGAAGTTTAAGTCATCGAATTCCTATTGACATATAGAAATATCTTGAACCATGCATATACACCTTGTTTTGTTGCTTCAATCGATTCTCTCAGTTTCTTTTGGATAGTATTTCAATAGAACGTTACTCGTGATACATTGAGTTCCTATTTACTTCTTAGTAATGGACATACATTTCACATGATCCTTTCGTTTTATCAGTTGTCAATGCTTGACTGCTAATGTGTTTCTATTGCAGCTAATGCTGGATTTCTTTCGGGTTATACTGGAATAGAATCAGTTCCTGGCCCTGAATTACCTAAGATTGATTTTCTTAATCGTTGGAACGGTATATTCTCAAATAACATTGTAAAAAAACATCTGCTAACATTATGCAGTAAGATAATATGCTCTTTTGTTGCAGATGATAATCAGAAAAAGTATGCAGAACTTGATGAAAATTCAAAGAGTCACCCCTGCTTAAACAGTTACTCGAAAAATCCAAGCAAAACAAAGAAAAGTAAGTTTTCTTTCTTGCATAGATTTTCATTTCGAATGATTAGCTTTTTGGTTAATAGGTAGTAGAGGAACGTGGAGCGAAGAGTAATTTTATGAGCATTGAACAATTTTTGTATTCACAAAAGAAATGTTTTATCTCATTTCTGTAGTATAATTTTTCGATGAAGGGGTGACAAGTGAAAGTTGATTATGCGCTTTCATCCTGTCTCGTAAGGTTGCATTGCATATGTTGTATATGAAAAGAACTGAGTAAGATCATTTACATCAGGCACCAACCAAATGGTAATAGTTCGCGTATTTTTCAGGAACAAAAAGTCAATTGAAGACAAGTATTGTTTACGAGGAGCTGAATGGGGAGTTGGAGATTGCTCAACAGCAGGAATGACACCAGAAGATAGAGATAGCTTCATTGCCATGTTGAAACAGAAGGCTGGTGTAGAATGAACGCGCAATTATGTACTCTTTATCGATAATGCTGGTTTCAATTTTCGAATGCAAAGAGTGAAGATTGAATCGTAATGGTGAAAATTCGCGTTAGGAGACGGGGAGTTTGATTGAGCCTCCAAGACATTAGAAGCTTTTAGTATAAGTAGAAGAACATGTCAAGGGACATTCTTCCATTGTTCTATAGCTTGTAAATACATTGCATGAGTATACTATGAGCTTGAGAGTGACATATTGATATTAGGAAAAAGAGTATGATATCTCCTTAAATTTGTCATTTAGAGTCATATAGCTATCGTTATAAGAGTGGCTCAATATATCCCTACTGTTACAAAACAAACTCACATATATCATTATCGTTACAAAACAGACTCACATATATCATTATCGTTACAAAAGTTGTTCACATATACCTCTGCCGTTATAAAAATGAAAATAAATTTAAATTAATTTTCTAAAAATTATGTATTTGATTTTTTTCACACATAAATTATTTTTTAACTTCTTGCTATTATTATTTGAGCTTTTTGTTTTTTTTTTCTTTCATTTTTTAGTGGAAGAGATATAAAAAAAAGTGTAAATGGAAAAAGATTAAAAGTTTTTTAAAAAAAACTAAAATTAATTTTTTGCAGCTATATTGTAATTTAGTTTTAATATTTGTTAAAAAATATAATATTTGGGGCATCTATAATAAATGTTACAAGAAAATAAGCGGAAAAAAATTAACTTTGACCATTAAAATAATAAATTCAAACTAGTCGATGAATAAAAATAGTCAAAAGAAGAAGAAAAACGTGTGAGAAGAATCAATATACCCTAATATGAATTATCTTTTTTTTTAATAAAAAAAATTAAAATTATTTTCATTGTAAAGTATATATAAGCTCTAAATAACAAAATTGCGAAATATTATAAGTAAATATTTTTATTTCACATTTTAGCCGCAGAAGAAAGAGAAAAGAAGAGAGAGAAAACTGTTGCATCCGAATAAGGCATAAAACGCATTCACTGAATGCGATTTATCAAGAACATCAGTAGTGAAGTTTTGCACCTTCTCCTTTACCAATATTTATTATTATTATTATTATTATATTATTATTAATTATTATTATTATTATTATTAATTATTATTATTATTATATTATTATTATTATTATTATTATATATTATTATTATTATTATTATTATTATTATTATTATTATTATTATTATTATTATTATTATTATTATTATTATTATTTTATTATTATTATTATTTTATTATTATTATTATTATTATTATTATTATTATTATTATTATTATTATTATTATTATTATTATTATTATTATTATTATTATTATTATATTATTATTATATTATTATTATTATTATTATTATTATTATTATTATTATTATTATTATTATTATTATTAATTATTATTATTATTATTATTATTATTATTATTATTATTATTATTATTAATTATTATTATTATTATTATTATTATTAATTATTATTATTATTTATTATTATTATTATTATTATTTTATTATTATTATTATTATTATTATTATTATTATTATTATTATTATTATTATTATTATTATTATTATTATTATTATTATTATTATTATTAATTATTATTATTATTATTATTATTATTATTATTATTATTATTATTATTATTATTATTATTAATTATTATTATTATTATTATTATTATTATTATTATTATTATTATTATTATTATTATTATTATTATTATTATTATTGTTATTATTATAATAATTAGGGGTGGTCATGGTTTGGATAAAATCTTATTCAAATAAAAAAAACGAACAAAATCAATTAAATAATTTGATTTGGTTTGATTTTAGATTTTTAAAAATAGATAGTATATGGTTTGAGTCTGATTTTGTTTTAAAAAATGAAGAAATAATCGAACCGAACCGAACCGAACCGACAAATATATAAGTGTGGATAACCACACACAGGTGACAATCAACATGCTTGTATCATATGTGTGGTTCCACACCTACATATACATTTGCCTATTTTTTTTCTCCGTTTTAATTTGTTTGTCTTATTTTTTAATTTTATATATTCAAAAATTACATAAAAAATACTATAAATCATTATAATTGACAGCTTAAAATATTTTTACAAAAGCATATAAAAAATTTGATTGCTTATAAAAAAATTGATTGATTCATAAAATTAATCTATTTGTGTCACAAAAAATGAGACAAAAGAAGTAACATGTATTATTAAATTTGCAAACTACGTAAAAAAGTATTGTAAATCTCAATAATTAACAACATATTGACTCTTGAAATTCTAATTTGTGCTACATATATATTGGGACAAGAAAAATAATAATATATATTATTTATAGATTATGTAAAAGGTACTATAATTACAATAATTAAGAACTTAAAATATTTAAAAATCATATCAAAATATTATTGACGTTTTAAATTTTATCTATGTCACATAAAGTGAGACAAAAAAATACTTCGTGCTAGCATGAGCACTTGTGTTTATATATATATATATATATATATATATAATAAATTCAAATTAGTCGATGACATTTTAGTCGCAAAAGGAAGAGGAAAGAAGAAAGAGAAAACAGTTGCATCCGAATAAGGCATAAAACTCATTCGTGAAATGCGATTATGAAGAACATCAATACAAGTTTTTTGCACCTTCACCTTTACCCATATTAGTTTATTATTATTATTATTACCATATTGTAATCTAATTTTTATATCTATATGTGTTTTTATTAAAACTTATTTATAATTAATTTTAAATATCTTATATGTATATTTATTAAAACTTATTTATAATTTGTTTATGAAAGCAAAAACGTCCAAGACAAGAACATTTATCTTATTTATTTATGTATATGAGTGTCTATGACAATTCTTGGTAGTCACTGTTTCCTTTACCAATATTAGTACTCTTATTTTATAATAATAACTAGGGGTGGTCATTGTTTAGATAAAAACCGATTCAAACCGAAAAATATACCCTAATATGAAGTATCTTTTTTTTTAAAAATAAAAAATTGAAAATTATTTCACCGTAAAGTATATATAAGCTCTAAATAACAAAATTGTGAAATATTATAAGTAAATATTTCTATTTCACATTTTAGCCGCTGAAGGAAGAGAAAAGAAGAGAGAGAAAACAGTTGCATCCGAATAAGGCATAAAACGCATTCACTGAATGCGATTTATCAAGAACATCAGTAGTGGAGTTTTATGTGTGTTTTCATTAAAAATTATTTATAATTTATTTATGAAAGAAAAAACATCCGAGACGAGAAAATTTATCTTATTGGTCTTATGTATATGAGTGTCTGTGAAAATTCTTGGTGGGACTAAAAATGTTATTGTCGCTTACTTCTAAGAAAAATGGTGAATTTTGAAGCTTTATTCATAGTAAATTCAGTTATAGTCGTTCTAACTATTTTTTGTTTTGAATGAATTGTTATCTCCTCTTTTGAATGAATTGTTTCTTTTATTTTATGTATGGTTGATAATCGAATAACAAACCAAATCGAAATCGATAACAATCAAACCGATAAATGTATATTACATTTCATTTGGTTTGGTTTTGACCAATAATCGATCCGCGAACACCCCTAAATTAATAACATTGTCCATTTCTTCAATTTTAGTATTAATGTTGATTATTTCTATGTTGGTTATCTTTACTAGTTTTGCTGTCAATATTTCTTTTTCTAATTTTGTTTGTCAGATTCTAACTTACGTATATATATCATATAACAACACTCACATACATTAATGAAACGTAAATTTCGTGATGAATGTATGATTATGATTATAATCTAAATATAGAAAAAATTAACCAACATAATAATTTTTTAAACTGTATTTATTATAATTATAATTTCAAAAAGTTACAAAATGTAATTATATTTTTGGATTTTATAGTAAACACACAATATATCGCATGTTGATACAACTCTTTCGCGTGTCTTCAACAGATACAACTAACACCCGCCTAATTCAGTTGATACCCGCCACCTATATATTTTGCCTGATTCAGTGATAATCATAACCTAAATACAACCCTTTAATTACACAAACTCTCCCGTCATCCATTTAATACATCACTCAATTAAATCTACATTACGTAAATATACAAACTATAGCTATGTTTTATAATGTCGAGCTAAATTAAGCCGTTTATGAAATTTTCTATAATCTACCCAAAAAAATATTAAAAAATTAATAGGGGAAGTTAAAAAGTTTATTTTATGGAAATATTTTTCTTTCACATAAAAGGAAAAAAGAGGAATATTCACAAAAGGTCCTTATTTAATTTAAAACTCTGACAAGAATTCAGAGGGCACCTGACTAATTAAAGAAAAATTATTAAACAGTGATTACAAAGAATAGAAAATGACAAAACAACCCACAATGATAAGTTAAAGCTAAAAAATTCCACAAATTCCCAAATCCACCCCTTCATCTCCAAAGGGAGTCTCGATTTTGGCTATAGCTCATTTTTGGACCCCACCCCTCCAGCACAATTCCCTCGTATTGCCAACCTAGCTTATTGTCTTGTTGAAATTTCACATCCATTTACAGGTAATTTTCTTGAAGAATTCTGAAAGGGTATGTGTTTTTGTTGATGATTTTGTTGATATGTTAATTTTTTAATGTTTTTATCTTTGTGGGGTTATGGATATGTGATTCTTGAATCTGGTTGAAGAACTTGTAAATTGTGTTTTGTAGGTATAGGTTCTGTTGAGGTTGTAATTTTGTTAAGTTTGATCAATTGGATAGTTTCTTGGTTTAATTTTAAAATGGGGTTGTTTTTGTTGATTTTGATGTAGTGATAATGAATTAATGATGTATTTCTCAATTGAATTTGTGGGGGTTGAGGTTTAGTTTAGTATGATGAGCAATTTTAGATGTAAAGATTGGATTTTTATTGGGAATTATACCTATTTCCAGCTTAATTTTTGTGGTGTTTTGTCCTGTGTATGGAGTTGGGTAATACTTTGTGTTCTTTTCAGGGGATTTCATTCTTTTGGTGGAATAAACGTGGGGTTACTGAATTTTTTTCAGTATGTGTTTGACTTTAGCTGTAATCGAACAAAGGAGAATATTCTGTTCTTTATGAAGGAATAGGAAGTGAGATTGGAGTTAAGAGAAGGAAATTATGTATCGGCCTGTAGCAACTACTACCCGAGGAGGGGTACCTACTGATAGTGGAGATTCTGTGGTGACACTGGATCAAGTTCCACGTTGGATTGATTCTGACGTTAGGTACTTGTATGAGAATGAAGATCCTAATTCCGATTATGCAGATCCTTTGTCATCTGCTTCAGGGTCTGAGGGCAATGCGAATGGTATCGTTTCCAAGTTTCCTGTGGATCACGAGATTAACTCCAAGATATACCTGTGGAGAGGAGACCCCTGGAATCTCGAGGTAGATGCTGTTGTTAACTCTACAAATGAGGTGAGAAGTAACTTCTAGATAATTCTATGTTGTGCTCTTTATATTTATTTTGATTTGGTTTATTGACATACGTAGTATTTGCTTCTTCTGTGGATCAACAATGTGCATCGTTTGTTTTTAAATTTGGAGAGTAAGGGATCATATAGTATGTGTGCTTGCATCCGTCCATCTGAGATGGTGGCAGAAACATGAACTTGTAGCTAACAAATTAGCTAAAGAATTTGGGTTTTCATTGAAATATTGAGTTCCAAGTAGGGTAGTTTTGTCTGATTCGAGTAAATACAGTAGGGGGTAGGGGATGCTTAAAGTTATATGCTTTTTCATGAGCTAGTGATCATGGTCAATAAGTGGGTTCAAAACTCAAATACAAAAAACCCTGGATGATCTCCTCTCATCTACCTAACCTTGGTGGGCAGAGTTACCCTATATGTATATATACTGGTGGGAGGTAGCAGGTACACAGTGCAATAGTTGAGACTTGAGGTGCATATAGTTATCCCAGGCACCACTGTTATAAAAAAGAAGAAGACTTTAAAGAGCCAAAAAAGTAGAGTATTTTTCAATCCTGTTTCTATTTATTTTAAGGGACGGGGTAAGTATGGTTAGGGTACTTTATCCATAAAAAGTGGTACAAGTGGAAGTATTTTGATTCTATCAACAATGGTGGAGGAATATCTTCAAATTTGCATTCTATTTCTGCTTTGCAAGTTTATCATAACCGAGAAGTACCTAGAAACCGACACACGTATATGTAGGTTTTGGATAAATCGTCTGTTTTTTCCTGGAAATATGTTTCTTACTTGACATCTTCCCAAAAGATTATCAGGTCGACCAGTGTGATGATTAAATTGTTTCCATACATACCATCTATTTAAGATATGTCTGCACTTGTTCTATTTTGTGCAATTTCAGTAATAATATTTGTAGAAATGTAGAGACCAGTGATTATTGCAATTAACTGCATCAAGAAAACACTTTTCTGCAGTGGAATTGTTGACAATTATACTTCAATTTTGTGCTCAACAGAATTTAGATGAAGCACACAGCAGCCCGGGATTGCATGCTGCAGCTGGACCTGGACTTGCAGAGGAATGTGCTACTCTCGTAGGTTCCTCAATGTTTCATATGTTTTCCAGATTTTTCAAAACTTAATTCCCTAATGGATTCACAAATAGGGTCAGAAGCATAACTTGTGGCAAGTGGCAACCAATTAAACCACAAACAGTTTCCTTATATTTTTTATGGGAGCAGTTTCTTTAGATTTATTTCTTGTACTTTCTGTTTGTTCCAGCTTAAGAATGCTATATAACTTCTTTTCCAACTGTTGGCCCTTGTATTCAATTTATGATGGTGACACTAGAAAGATTTATGTACGGTTTACGTTGTTTCATAGGGAGGATGCCGGACAGGAATGGCAAAAGTTACCAATGCTTATGATCTTCCTGCTAGGTGGGTGATTTGGGTTATTTTTATAAACTTTGTGCATTATTGTTGAGTATGTTTGTAACTGACTTCTTTTTTAGTTGATCTGCAATACCTTATCTTTACATATGCAAAACGATCACTAGTAAATCCCTAACTAGTCAAAGTCAGCTATGTGAACACCCTACATCTATTCTACTGCATCAAGGCATAGTTCATTCCGTACTCAATTATTTGTCTTATAGGACAAATCATGGATTCTTAAAAATTAGGGATTTTCTCAATCTCACATCTGTCCCTGCATCGTCATACGATCGGAACCAAACTTAAACGATTTCTGCAAAAAATCGGGCTCAGTGTAAAGGCACCACCAACAACTAACCTTAACTGCAACTGGTTGGTGGTGCCTATATGGATCCTTTGCTTTCATTGTGTTCTATTATTCGCTGAATCTGCAAGAATTCAAAGAAATTCTATTTCTTTTGAGACAACTTCCCTTCATGTGATTTTTGGCCCCTTTTAGTACCTTCAGTGATCATGGTATCACACCTATGGACCGGCATCCTTATCCAAAAGAAAAACCCACCTATGGACCGGCGTATTTGGAACTCTCCCTAAGAAATTTAGCTGTTTCCATCAATGCCCACTTTTCGAGTATGTTCACATAGTAAAAAAAATAGGGGTGGAATCTGTGAACAGCTAAGCTGGTCTTCAGTAGGAAAAAAAGAGCATATGTATATTGAAGTATGACCTGCAAACCACTCAGGGATATCCATGACCTTGTCTACTTCACCGAAATCTCATAATACGTGGTGTATGAGTTGGTTATGGAATTTCTATATGAAAGCCAGGTTGCAATTATATCTGGCATAATGATAAGTTGTTTCATGTTCATGAACAATGTGATTGTACTTGTGTTGGATTATCTAAATAATGATCCGATAATGTGAGAGTCTAAACAAATATTCAATCTTATTCTTTGACATCATGGTTGGGAGGTAGTACGGCATATCTCAATTCATGCCATTAGCCTAACTATATTGTTTTTTCCAGAGCTACTGATCAAAACTGAAGTCGTCAAGCTCCTATATCTTACTTTTTACACTTTACAAATAAGAAAAATCGTCATGCCGCTTAACAATTTTTTACTTGAATGGTGATGGCTGGGTGTTGACTGTTGAACAGTAGTAGTAGTATTAAATGCATTTCTGTATCACCATATTTTTTTCGTAGTAAAGTAAAATTAGTTAAAATAAATAAATAAGTAAATTACAGTTGATTAAGGTATGAAAAAAGAAAAAGAAATATTCAATGTTCTCTTCCCGTTTGAACTTAGTTCATGATTTTTCATTACAATTTTAGCATGGGAACAAATGCAGCATAATCATAAGCCTTTGACGTACTGCTGATTGAGTTTCGTGTGCAGGAGGGTCATTCACACTGTTGGTCCGAAGTATGCGGTAAAATACCACACTGCTGCCGAGAATGCTCTAAGTCATTGCTATCGCTCTTGCCTTGAACTTCTTATAGAAAATGGATTACAGAGGTTGTCTAATGGTCATATGTTCTGCGGTTTATTATTAATGCCGTGATTTTGTTTATTAAAAGGAAAAAGGGAGAGCCACTCCCTTGATTTCCTTTTTATTTGAGGTTTCAACTATTTAAAACGCTACTTACTATGTTGGTTTATGTAGTGCAGCATTGCGATGGGATGTATCTATACCGAAGCCAAAACTTATCCGCGAGAACCAGCTGCTCATGTTGCAATAAGTGATACATCTCTCTGCTTTCTTAATTAATTGCTTATTTGTTCGTTATTTGATTTTCAAATTAAAGATAAAGATAATTCTTTCCGTGCTGAGACTGGAAAGAACTGATATCTCCATCAGAAAGATTCCTCATATTAACTATATTTGTATAAATGTTTTATCTGCCAGTTGTTGAATGTAACTCCATCTTTTATTGCTTTGATTAGGAACTGTACGGCGGTTTCTTGAGAAACAGAAAGATAAAATAGAGGCAGTCGTTTTCTGTACAACTACATCATCCGATACGGAGATATATAAAAGGTATACTTGGTACATTGTTTTCTACCATATACTTGAGAGGATGCAAGCATTCTGTGTATATTGTTTTTGCTGTTAAAATTCACAGTATCTTTAATTTTGCAGATTGCTTCCTCTTTACTTCCCTCGGGATAATCATGAGGAAGAAATTGCCCGGTTAAAACTTCCTGCAGATGTTGGGGATGAGAATGGAGAGACAACTACAGCTGAGCGTAAAATAAGAATAAAACCATTGCCAAATGCAAAAGTTTCTAGTCCAAGGACCCCCCAAGCCTCTGTTGATCTATCTGTCAGTAATCTTGGTTTGTCCAGAAGGTTAGTGATGAATTAAGCAGTTCATTCACAACAAATATCATGTGAACAGTGGGCTTGCAGGATACAGTTTGAAGTGTTAAAGTTAGTTACAACTTAAAAACTGGTTTCATTGCTCATATCTCCCTCGAATTTTTGAATCTATGTGTATTACGGTAGAACGAAATTGAACAAAGGAAATTATTGCTTACATAAAGAATAGCTCCTGCTAGCCCTAAGCTTTTGGCTGTCGCTTTATAATATCACTACCTTTCAACTTAGAGTGTCCATTTGAAACAAATGAATTAGCTCAAGGTTTATGACTGGTCCTTTCAAAAGTGAAGACGCTAAAACAAATGTCATGTTTTTTTTGTGATTACAGTTAGAGACTGGTGTAATAAGTAAGAAGGGCCTTCTGAAGTGAAGCCTTATTTAGGTGTGATTAAACAATTTTGTAGTTGAACATAGTGCTGCATTCTATGAGTTTTAATCGGATGAACTTCTCCACCATTGTTTTGCTGGAAATTTAGCTTGCATTCCACTTGATTAAATCCTTTGATGGTGGAAGTTCTTCGCTCTCTTGGTGTCGATCAATAAATAAAGCATGATCCCCAAACAAAAAGATTACGTCATATATCTTAATTGACTATCTTTAGGTACATTTTCATCCAGATGGCATCAGCTTCCGTTATTAAGGACTTTGGAGATTACTCCACATTCACGTGTTTCCATGCCAGTATAATAGTCAAACTAAAGCACTTTTTGTACTTACAGCTCATCATTCTGTTTTCTCATTAATGAAAACCATAATTCATTATTCTTAACAATAGTCCTGGGATTTTTTGGTTTCATGTTACTTCTGATCATATTGCTGCAGTGAATTCTGGTTGTAAATTATAATCAAGAGGAAATTACATTAAGAAAGATACTTCCTGTTACTTTTACATTGTAATATTACTTCGATTAAAAATTCCATTATTGTTGTTTGTTATCTAGTTTCTACATGTTGAAATCATATTTGTGTGGCATATGACTTGATTATATATCGTTAAGCCAGACTGAGAAAAATTTCTTAAACAGGAGTTCATCCTACTTGGGTGCATTTTTGGATCCTGCTTTTATGTCCCTGATCAAAGACCCAGATCAGCGACGTAGAGAACAATGGGAAAAAACAGCCCAAGCGCAAAATAGTTGGAACTGCTTTAAAATGCTTGGATATGGTGAACTTGGGGGACCTGCTTTATCAGCTGCAGAAGAATATACCCTTCATTCTAGATATCTTGCAAAAGCAAATTCTATGAATCTTTCAGAAATTGCGGAAATGAAAATCGTGTAAGCAGCTTTCTGTAAATGATGTCTTTGCTCTCATTGTTTCTTGGTCCATGCTCTTGTCATATGAATGAGAATACTTGCATCTAACTGTTTGGAGCCTCAGATATGCACTTGAATAGAGTGAAAGTAGGACGAGGTCTGCATTTACCCGATTGCATGCAAAGGTTTTGTTAAATTAACATGACTACTAGATAACTGAATTGTTATTAACATATCCATGAATATGCCTCGCCTCACCTCGCTTATGTTAAACTTATGTTTCTCATTGGCTGTGTTTTCAGTTACCGAGGAGGGGTTGATAGTGAGGGTCGTCCAGTTATGGTAGTCGTGGGAGCACATTTCCTGCTAAGATGTCTTGATCTTGAGAGATTTATCCTGTACGTTGTAAAGGTAGTGATAATTTCTTCTAGATTGCATGAGATCTATCCATAGCAATTGTATGGTTCATAATTTGTTTTACTTCAAATTTTTTCTGCATGATTTGGCAGTAAATAGTTATTCTGCTTGTCACATTTCAGGAGTTCGAGCCTGTGATTCAGAAGCCTTACTCGATAGTGTATTTTCATTCTGCAGCGTCTTTACAGATGTAAGTTTTAGCTTCTGGCCATATTTTCATTGGCTCATGTCCTTATAATGGATAGACCTCATGGTGAAGTTTGTTAATTAGTATAAGTGAAAACAATCAATAATTTAGATTTAGATCTTTCTCTGATCAGAATGATAGACGATCTTCACCATCTCCAAAACATCTTGTATGAGCTTCAGAGCTAATGTGTATACATTGCCAGACATCATCATTTTCCTTTCTGAGTCATTTTGCTTTGAGGATCCTTTTATCTACAGTTCTTTGTGTTCATATGATTGATCAGTATCACGAAACATACAAAATAGCTCCCCCTCAAACCTTTTTCTTTTAATGCAATCCTTGATCTCAATGTGGTTGATTCACTGGAAGAATCCTTTCATAATACTGATTAATGAACTTCTGTTTTGTTTTACTTTGGTGGTTCAGTTGTGTCACTAGTTTTTTTTGTACCTCAACTTTGGCAATATTTTTTCTTAGATGCTTCCGGACTTTGTTTCGTTGTAAAAAAACAGGCAACCAGATTTAGGATGGATGAAGAGATTACAACAAATACTTGGACGGAAACACCAGCGTAACCTTCATGTATGCAATGCCTTTCCCATTTTTCTTGTCCTTTGCATGGTTTCATAAAGCTGGACATTATTCCTGTTTCTTTTGTCTTTCTAAATCTCGTTTCTCTGTGAGCAGGCAATATACGTGCTTCACCCTACCTTTGGACTGAAGTCTGCAATTTTTGCTTTGCAACTCTTTGTCGATAATGTGGTACCTATTTTCTTAGCACCTTTTTTTTATCTTTTTATCTAATCCCATTATTACTTGTAAACATACTCCATTCCATTTTCTCTGAAGCCTTGTCTCTGGGTAACTAATCTGCAGGTGTGGAAAAAAGTAGTATATCTTGATCGTCTTCTACAGCTATTCCGCTATGTTCCTCGTGAACAACTAACCATTCCAGATTTTGTATTCCAGTTAAGTAATCATACCACAATCCTTCATTTATCACGTCAGAATGTACGAGAGTTGAGTGCAACATGCCAGTTTACTTGATAGTATTATGCATTGTCCATAATTTTGCTCTATTGGGTGGGAAGATAATAGTTCCTACTTGCTTATCTTGATTTTAGGCTGGCTACTGTCTCATTATAGTCTGAATTTCTTGTCGAGTTCTGGCGCTTTCACATGTAGCAACTCAGAGGCAGACGCAATATGTGTAGCAACAATTATCTCCCTTCTTGTAACGAGTACTTACATAAAGATAGAACCCATCAGTTTAAATCTTAGATTTGCCTTTGTTGCAACTGTCATCTCACGTGTTTCTTCGAGTACTACTTGCATAAAGATAGAACTCATCATCAGTTTAAATCATGGATTTGCCTCTGTAGCAACATCATCTCCCTTCCCTTCGTGTAACGTGTACTTGAACTACTTGTCATCTCGTGATTGCAGGCATGATTTGGAAGTGAATGGAGGGAAGGGCCTAATCGTTGATCCTAGAACAAAATATGTTTATCAGAGACCTTAGTGTCCATATCCATGAGAGCTTCAACTAAAAGATTCATCAGTTAAACCAGCTATGGAGTAAATTGTGAGATAATGAAGCTTGGTTATCTCTTGTTAATTTCTCTGTTGTTTGTAATTTTATTTGTTGATTAATTTGTGCAGACAATGTGTCTTGTCTCCTGTGACAATAAAATGACCCCCCCTTCCCCTAACATTTTCCATGTAATGAATGTATATTATATTTAGAATTTGATTTAATATTTAGTGGACATTAATGCTTGCATTATGGTAGGCTGCATCACATCCCTTGGTTGCGGCCATTTCCTATACCCTACGTAAATGCTAAATATTCATGGACTAACACATGAAAAACTGATAAAATTGTCTAATTTTTGTAAATTGACCCTAAATGTCCAAAATGAACTTTGTAAATGGTGAGACTGTACGTACTGTTTCTCAACTCCTTTATAAAAGTTTTGCAAAGAAATCGTCTGGAAGCCATATCACCAAACTATTCATGGGTTAACACACGGAAAAACTGAGAAAATCGCTTAATACTGTAAATTGGCCCTTAAATGTCCAAAATGGACTCTAAAATGGTGAGAGTGTAAATATTGAAAATGATAAGATTGTACATACTGCTTCTTTAACTCTCCACAGAGGATTCCATAAAGGTTTCGCAAAGAAATCTTTCGGAGGTCAACTCCCTACGAAGGGTTCCATAAATGTTTTGTAAAGAAATCATCCGGAAGACATATTACGAAAAACTGAGAAAGCCTCACTTTCGAACAATTACTTTATGAAACCTTGCGTAGAGAGTTTGGGGAGCAGTACATAAAGTCTCACCATTTTCAGGGTCCAGTTTGAGCATTTAGGATTCATCATACAAGAATTAGGCAATTTTTTTTTCAATTTTTTTGTGTGTGTTAGCCCATTAATATTTTGGTGATATGACTTTTTGACGATTTTTATTTAAAACCTTTACGGAACCTTCCGTAGAAAGTTGGGGGAGTAGTACATGAAACCTCACTATTTTTGCACATATTTTGGACATTTAGGAGTCATTTCTCAGTTTTTCATGTGTTAGCCCATTAATATTTTAGTGATATGGCTTCCCGTAGATTTTTTTGTAAAACCTTTATAGAATTTTCTGTAGGGAGTCGGGAGAGTAGTACGTACAATCTCTATCATTTTTACAATATATATTGGCATTTAGCGACCAATTTACAGGAATTAAACGATTTTCTCAATTTTTCATATGTGTTAGCCCATAAATATTTTGAAAGGAAAAAATTACCTAATAGAGCAAGCTTATGTTCAGTATCTACCTGAAATATCAATAGTTGATAAAAATTCAATACATAATGAGAGTTAGAGTTTTATCTGTTTAGCTAAAATACAGTTATTTCTGAAATTTACTATAAAATAATATAATCAATTAATCACCCATTTGATGTTGTAGAAGAGCCAAGTGGCAGTGCACTATAAATACCCAAAAAAAATAAAAATCAATGGGGGTAGAATGAAAAATTAGTGGACGCCATTTGTCCGGCAGAAAACACAACTTTCCGGTGCGTCTCCGATCTTCTTCTCAGGTGATATTTCTGCAAGTGAGTACGCTTCTACGCAGTTATTATTAATACACTGTTTATTTCAAATCAAAACAGTAGTAGAAATTCGAGGTATAGGATTTGTAGTATATTGAAAGTTCATGTTTAATTTTAGATTAATGGGAGCAAATTAATATGATTCGAAACTGAATAATCAAAAGGCGAATCAGAATTAGAGAATGAGAAGTTCCTATGTAGTGTTAATTTTTTTGACGGGTTGTCTAGTTGCAATAAACATTATCAGGTGGATTAGCTCTAGTTCTTTGTTGTGAGCTGAGACGATACATTTTTTTTCCTCCTTTTAGGAGTTTTGAAGAACTGAGGAGGTGATTAGTCAGGATATAACACAGGTTTAAGTTTACTGAGGACGTGACTCTAGATAGGAAGGTATATGTATGTCGAGGATTAGGGTGGAAGGTTAGTAGGTTGCCTAGTGTTGTTGCACTTCATTCATGTGGTAGAGGCAGGGGGGTAGGCTCCTCTACTATTGTCCTTAATAGTTATTATTTAGGAATCACATAGCTTTTTTGTTCGTTGGTATTTATTAATATTTGTTGCTTCATTTGCTTTGTATCTTGCTTTTTTGGTCTTATTTTCTTATAATCATGCTTCAAATTCTTTGGTCTATCGGAAACACTCTCTCTACAAAGATCAACGTCTGTGTACATGCTACCCTCCTTAGAGCCCACTTGTGGGATTGCACTAGCGTGTTGTTGTTGGAATTGATTGCAGAAATACTCGAATTGCAATTTAGAAGTTCTTCTTTAGCCTGAATTTGCTCAATGAACATGAATTTAGTTATGTTTGGAGCTGCAATAAACATTTAGAAGTTGGATTAAATGAACCCAAATAGGAGGGTATGGATATAGAGGATTCATGTAGTCTACCAAAGTAATTTTTGTAGTTTAAATGGTAAACATTTAGGTTTTTTGTGAAGTTTTGACAAGGGTTTCTCCTTTCTTTTCTTTTTGAACCTTTCTAAAAGTCAGTATACAAATTTAAATTCCCTGAATTGACTACATCGATGCTGAAGTTGAAATTTTGAAAAGAGTAACTTTATTTCAGAAGTAGATTGAACGGAAAGGAAACTAGGTTCTTTGAAGGAGTAGGGTGAAGGAGGAGTTGTCCTGAACAGTAGCCATGGTGCAAAGTATGTCAATGAGTACTCTTGCAACTTCTAGATATTGTGGGGTTTGTGGATCCACCTGTTTGAGGAGGCAGTTTGGTCGAATAAAAGAAACCGCAATAGGTTTTAGGGAATGTCAATTTGTTTGGAACGATCGTCGGAAAAGCTTGTCCTTTGCAACCCACATTGATATGCTAAAGCCGAGAAATTTGAGAGTTCAAGCTGGATGGTTGTTTAAAGGAGGTGACCAAAGCTCAGAAGCAAGCATTGAGCGTAGCGAGAATGCCAATGAAGATATATTGATGTTCTTTTTCCAGCTGGACCTGGCTACACGAGTGCAGGTTACCATCTATGTCTGTGATGTGCTGTAGTTTTTTTGCTATATCTTTGATCATTGATTCACGAGTGTCTATCCTGCTTTATGCACAGTATGCTTTGAATGTGGAGCAGTATGAAATTGCACAACAACTAAGAGAGAAGCTCAATGAGGTTAGTTTATGCAGATATCAAATGTCCTGTTTTCATCTCATCTTTTACTCATTTCCCATTACCAGCTTTAAGCAACTGTTCTTCTTGCGATTTTATTGGATTTGATTTTTGGAGTTTGGATCTCCGAAATTGGACAAGCCAACGGATAGATGAGAATTGTTTACTGACTAGAATCAGCGTGCTTCTTATATGCTAATGAAGGTGGAAACAGAGGTTTTGAAACAGCAGGAATCCAGAAGGGGATCAGCCTCAAAGAGTGAAGCTCAAGATATGGCTATAAGCATCTTGCGTCTACGGTAAGCATACTCACATTCCTTTTGTTCTTTTTTGCCATGAGCTTTGAGTGCTGGATATCAAGCTATTTCTTGAATTGATTATAAAGATTCCACCTTTAGTATGTTCCAAAGGTACCTTTTGAAGCACCTCTGATTAACTTTTGCTTCGTGCAGTGCAGACCTGCAGAATGCAGTTCAGAGTGAAAATTATGATTTGGCAGCTAAATTACGAGATGAAATTTCCAAGCTTGAGGCAGAGTCTCTGACTACATCAATAAGAGCTCAGGCATATGAAAATGCTCAATATGCATTTCGATTAGGCCAGAAAGTGAAGCACAAGAATTTTGGTATGGAATCTTTAACTAATTGTTTGGAGTGGAAGGAACAGCCTTTGTCTAATTCAAAAGATAACCAAATGTAAAAACAGATACACAAATCCTCATATGTTCTCCATATAATTAACTTGTAGCTAAAAGTGATATATAAATTTGAGAGCCTTTATGAAGTTTCCTGGTAGGATCGGCAAATTTGATGATTTGATTAATTCGCAGTCTTTCATGGCAGAAGTTTTACATAGTAAATGCATGAACTACTTAAACCTCACTGAGTGATCAACCCTTGCTTATTTCTGATGTTGACTTATTAGGATACATAATCAGGAAGTGCCTTCAATATTTATCTTTTAGTGATGTGCAATACCCTGCATGGAGTGATGTGCTATACCTTGCATGGACATCTTGTGGCTCAATGTATCGAATGATATAACTATTCTCCTGACACATTGCTTCCTCCTGTGAAGATGCATTCCCTTAACTAACATTCATGGAGCCCCTAGATTCAGCTCAATTAGTAAATGTTACTCAAGTTATTTATAGTACTGAACCCTTATGTTGTGACTTCAGGATATCGTGGTGTTATATGTGGGATGGACCCAATATGTTGTGAATCAAATTCATGGATGGAAACTGCTCAAGTAGAAAAGTTGACTCGTGGTCCTGATCAGCCCTTTTATCAGGTTTTTCTTGTCACGTAAAAATATGTTTCATCTATTGCAAGCAAAGATCAATTCAATTTATCTATCTGAGCATGGTCTGGTATCAACAGTAATGCTTTGCGACCACATCCCAAGGAAAGATCAAATAACTTTCTAGCTGTGTATGTCAAATTGTCAACTATCTTTTTGTACTTTGTAGTCCCCTATCCTCCTTAATATCTGAAATTTACTGCTTATGCTGTAGAGTTCCACTTCCTGGCTTCATCGTCTCATAATAATCATGAAATGTTGCATATGTACTGTGCATTGACCTGATAATTTACAAACTTCAATGTGGTCCTCTAGAACTGCTTATCTGTTTGCAAACATATAAAAATACTTTTACCATCTAGGCCCTCATTTTAGCAAAAGTATGCAAGCTCAAAGAACGATCCTGAATGATGTAGAAATTTGCTGCCTTTTAGAGTTCTGTTCAAGATTGACGACCTCCAGAGCAAATAACTGTTTAAGCTTCATCTAATAAACATTTTCCTGATACAATCAAAAGAATTGTTTGGAGAACTTCTTATGCATGCTGTACAAGTTCCTGATCCTAATCCATAGTTCAAACTTCAGCTCTCATTTTGCTGCGTTAAGTGGTGCTGCTCCAAGTGATAATTTCTTAGTTATTACTTCTGATCTTTTTAGTTTGACTAAATATAGACATATTTTCAGGTGCTGGTGGATGTACATACAGATCCCAATCTGTTAGTGGCATATGGTATGTGAAATTTGTGACTATGAATAAGCATTTCCATTAACTAGATAATCTAGTGTGAGCCAAGAAAGGTCCATATACTGTGTGGAATTGTACTATATCACCTCTTAGAACTTTTTGCAAAATTTATTTGCTGTTTGTGTCTCATTAGTCTGATAATTGTTCATCATGCAGTACCTGAGGAAAGTTTAGTGGTGCCTAGCGAACCAGATAAGGTATGTATACAACTAATCTAAAATTACAAAACAAAGTTGTCATTCAATCTCTAACTTGGTGAAAAATTCAACCACGTGCAGGATAGATTTGATCATCCCTACACCTCATTCTTATTTTTTGGGATGGATGCTGCCGGAGATTTCATACCAATCAAGCAGCTGCGCGAGAAGTACAACAAGCCTCGGCATGAGGTGCCTTATGATCCGGACAACGAGAAGAGTGGAGAAAGTTCGTAGATGTGACCAGAGGTTATGTTGTCCTCTATGCAAGATTTGGATATATGAGAAATTTTCTTGATTGAAGAGAAATGCCCTTCCCTTTCCCATTATGGTGGGGTTTACCTCATTTTGAAAGACTGCAAAATATGTTTCCTGCACAATGTCCTTAGAATACACAACATAGTTGTGGAGGCTCTTGTATAGTTCTGGAGATTTTGGATGACCATGACCAAAGTATATTGAGCTGCTGTTATTGTCAGCCTGTTTCAACAGAAAATGGTCAATGTATATTCATGTTTTACCTCAAAATCCCTTTATATTTTCCTGTTTTTTTTTTTGGCACAATACATAAATGTGTCATTTAACTCGGCCTAGATGTCGTTGTTCCCCGGCCGGTGTCCGGTTGTAGCCTGACTAAATTCGAATTCGCGCCTGAAAGTTCCACATTGATTGTAAAGCGCTCTCTAACAAAGGTGATTCTGTACCCAGGAGGACTCGAACATGAGACATCTAGTTAAGGATAAAGAAGTACTTAGTTACCAATTCACCACAATCTTTGCTGGTAATTTGAATCATTAATTAATCCCCGCTTTAGATTTTAACTAGCAATTGAAACATCAAATCAATTCAATTGATTGGACTTTATACAATACCATAGTTATTCATACAACTACAACAATAACAACATAGAGAAGTTGTTTGCGATTAGACGAAATATAGTATCGAATAATAAGATAGTAAATATGAAAGTTTAAACAAGCCTCGATTAGCTATGGATCGGGCTCTTATATAAAAGTTCACATATTTTTCCCTCCAAATGTCAGAAGAAAAATGAACAACTCTCATATATGCTCCCTCCAAAACTCTTAACCAAAATAATGAAACTCATTGAACTAAAATTCAAGAATGATACAGTATATGCCACTGTTCAGATCATGTTCAAGCTCAAGATCAGTAGCACAACTTCACGCACATCTCATCATCAATGGTCTCCGCAAAGATCCACTTGCTTCCACCAAGCTTATTGAGTCTTATTCCCAAATGGGTTCCCTCAAAACTTCAAGACTCATCTTTGACACATTCCCAAACCCAGATTCTTTCATGTGGGGTGTAATAATCAAGTGCCATGTTTGGAATAGCTGTTTTCAAGAAGCCATTTTTCTTTACCACAGTATGCTTTGTCAACTATCTGAAACCAGTAGCTTCATTTACCCTTCAGTTTTGAGAGCTATTTCTGCAATTGGTGATCTGGGTGTTGGTCGGAAGGTTCATGGAAGGATTTTGAAATGTGGGTTTGAGTCTGATTCTGTTGTCGAGACGGCGTTGTTGAGTATGTATGGTGAACTTGGGTGGACAGTTTATGCAAGGAAGTTGTTTGATGAAATGTCTGTGAAGGATGTTGTTTCGTGGAGTTCGATTATTTCGAGCTATGTACGTAATGGGAAAGGTAAGGAAGGATTGGAGATTTTTGGGGATTTGGTTAAGGAGGGTGTTGAAATTGATTCAGTGGCTTTGCTTAGTGCAGTTGAGGGTTGTGGTGAGTTGGGTGTATGGAGAGTTGGGAAATCTGTTCATGGTTATATATTGAGAAAGAATATTCAGAGTGATGGGTCTTTGATAAACTCGCTTGTTGCAATGTATGGAAAATGTGGCGATACGTGTAGTGCTGAGTTGCTTTTTCGTAATTCTGTTGATAAGAGCACTTATACTTGGACAGCAATGATGTCCTGCTACAATCAGAATGGTTGCTATCATGAAGCGTTGGCGTTGTTTGTTAAGATGCATGAGTCTGATGTGGAATACAATGAAGTTACTGTTATGGCTGTTTTATGTTCTTGTGCTAGGTTGGGTTGGCTAAACGAAGGGAAGTCTATACATGGTTTTATAGTTAGAAATGCTTTTGATTGTGGCAATGATCTTCTAGGCTCAGCATTGGTTGACTTGTATGCTAACTGTGGCAAGCTAAATGATTGCCACAAGGTATTTGGTTCGTCTCAAGACAGACATATCATCTCGTGGAATATGCTCATATCAGGTTATGTGCATGAAGGATTTTCTGATAAGGCATTGACGCTTTTTGTGGATATGGTTAGAAAAGGAATATTGCCAGACTCGTATACTCTGGCAAGTGTCCTCTCAGCTTCTGGAGATATTGGGTTTTCTGAATTTGGCTGTCAAATTCATAGCCACGTTATCAGGACTGGCTTTTCTACGGAGTTTGTCCAGAATTCACTGATTGACATGTACAGTAAATGTGGACTTGTGAACTATGCGCTCATGATATTCAATGATACACTAGAAAGAAGTATTGTGACTTGGAATTCAATGATGTGTGGACTTACCCAAAATGGTTTATCTCGGGAAGCTATTAGTCTCTTTGATGAGATATACTCAAACTCGAGCAGAATGGATGAAGTGACCTTCTTAGCTGCAATTCAAGCATGCTCGACTATAGGATGGCTGGAGAAGGGAAAGTGGATTCACCATAAGTTAATCATCTTTGATGTGAGGCATGATATGTATATCGATACTGCTCTGACAGATATGTATGCTAAATGTGGAGATCTCTGGATGGCTCGAAGAGTTTTTGATAGTATGTTTGAAACGAGCATAATATCTTGGAGTGCCATGATAGGTGGTTATGGAATGCATGGTCAAATCGATGATGCCATCTCACTCTTTCATGAAATGGTAAATAGTGGAATAAAACCAAATGACATCATTTTAACAAATATTCTATCTGCTTGCAGTCATTCTGGTTATCTGAATGAAGGGAAATATTTCTTTAACTTGATGATTAACTTGAACATTGAACCCAAACCCGAACATTTTGCATGTCTAGTTGATCTTCTTAGTCGAGCTGGTGATATTGATAAAGCCTATGAAGTCATCACTTCGATGCCGTTTCCTGCAGATGTTAGTATTTGGGGTGCCCTGGTAAATGGATGTAGAATTCACAAGAGAATGGATATTATCAAGATGATCCAACAAAGGCTTGAAAACATGCAAACAGATGATACTGGATATTATACTCTATTATCCAACATATATGCAGAAGAAGGAGAATGGAATGAATCTAGAATGGTGAGGTCAAAGATGCGAAGTTTAGGTTTAAAAAAGGTCGATGGATATAGTATGATTGAAGTTGAGAAAAGAATACCAGCATAAAGCAAATGTCACATACTTCATTTGCATAAAGGGAAGTCTCAAGCCTATATTGATGCTCTGATATTGGAAGTAGCTGCTTCCATTGTTTTTGGATTTAAAGAACTGATTAGCCTGGGAATATACAATATTTATTTCATACAGACTCTAAATGGGGAAGGGGAGCGTTGGCGTAATTGGTAAAGTTGTTGCCACGTTACAGGAGGTGACAGGTTCAATCTATGGAAACAACCTCTTGCAGAAATGCAAGGTGAGATTGCGTACAATAGATCCTTGTTGCCCGACCCTTCCCCGGACACCTCTTATAGCGGGAGCTTAGTGCACCGGGCTGCTTTTACAGGCTCTGAACTGGAAATGACTGCTGATCTGCCAAAAACTGGCTAAGAGGGGATTTAAAGTTGTCCCTGGATCATCAGGTAATTTTCTTGAACGGCAACTCAACGGGAATTATGTCTGCTACGGAGCTCAATACTGCCATTCTCTTTCTGTCAAGTAGCTATTCTCATGGATTGAGCAAAAACTTGATACATAGCCCACTTTTTATCTCCAACCTGCCTTGGACTTCAGACAGCACTATGCTAACTAGATGAGATGTCCCTGATGACAAGTGTGTAACTCATAAGTCATCTGAACCAGGATCAAGAAAGAGGAGAAATGGAACGAAATGCATATTTCAACCTACACCAGAAAGAAAACGAAAACGAAAACGAAGACCCAAGATAAGAGAGTCCATAATCCATATTTTGATGATGCATGGCACCACGCGTTCTACTTGAAGCATTCAGAAAACCTGACTAAACACAACCAAGATTTTAATTTCCATGTTAATGTCATTGTTTGTAGAATATCTTCAACTTTTAAATTCATGTTTCTCATTCCAACTAATTATTATTGAATTTTAGTACTCAAGGTTTCATCAAAACATTGTCTTATCATTCATATTCTTATTAAATATGTTCTATAGAAAAAGACTTGTGGTCCAACAGACGTAGCAGAGGGGTGTAAGGGGTTCAATTGAATCGTTTTTTGTTAAAATTTAAAATTTGTAAATAGGGTAAGAATAAATTTATTTAAATTTCTATTCTCAAAAAAAAAAAAAAAAAAAAATTTATTTAAATTTCTAGTTTCATCGTTGATCGTGTTGTTATATTAGTATTATTATTCATTATTCTGATGGTCCCTTCCTTTGGGCACAAAGGGAATTAAGTGTGAAGTTGTGAACCACAGAAGAAGTGGAGAACCAAACAATGGACAGAATGTGGGAGTACACTGTCCAACCTAATACTTTTGGTAGGCCCAAACTTGAAATCTTTTCAAGACTTTCAGATATGTGTTGTCATTATTATACATTGCAAGATAACAAAAACAAGAAATAGAACAAAATAAATAAAAAGGTAATATTTTGGTTATTATGTCTCAATTCCAAATAAGTAAAAATCGAACTGACCATGTGAATCTTGAGTTTCCTCTATCCTATTATTCTTCCAACTATAGAGTTAGTCACATCTCTTTGTTCATATCTGTAGCAACGACATTATTCTCATAGTTGTTTATTTTACAATTATTGTTATTATGTGTTACTTGAGCCAAGCATCTTCTAGAAACAACCTTTACTATCTCCACGAGGTAGGGAGTAAGATCAGCGTACACTAAACCCTCCAAAGACCACAGCTATGGGATTAGATGGGTATGTTGTTGTACTTGTAATTTTCAGAGGCCAACTCCCATGAAGATCTTATGTTAAGATAAGAGGGAAAAAGCATGTGGAAGCCAACAACATTCACTGAATAGCATTAATAAAATGCTAATAGCACAAGACATTATGCAGCATCTTGCTGAATACAGGGTCAGTAGATCCAATGGCAGAAACATAATAATGGGGGCTCCAAATTATGGAGCAAGAACAAAGACATGTACAACAACAATCCCCATGCAGCTAAAAAATTCACTCCTGAAATTCATAAAAGAAGCTCCCTAAATCCGTTAATCGGTTAATGTCACTCTATGAGCGATGAATGGATGAAATTACAGCCTCGTTTTCCCTGTGTTTTAAGTTAACAGGACAGCCGAAGGAGTGCCTGCAGGGCATCTTTGTCTCCGAGGGCGTCTAGGTGTCTTTCCCCACCCTGTTAGGCTTTTATTGTCTTCCAAACTGGCTTCAATGTTATTAAGTTGGTGTGTTAGTGGAGAACTCGTTGTTGTTGTGGTCAAAACCGGGGCTGGGGTACTGGTGTCCACAACTTTTTTCCGCCTTCCCCTAGTACCTCCATTTCTTGTCCCATTCCTTCTTGTCAAACTGGAGTTCCAAGTATGGCCTGTTGCTCTCATCAACCCTCCAAATATCTGAATGTCTTCGGTCACCTCATGCCTTGACAATGAAGCTAGACCGGGAAGGATATCCCTTTGGAAGTCCCTCCGCTGTCTTCCCCTCCTTGCATTCCCTCTTCGGGGTCGGTTTGTTAGTGAACTGGCTCCTGCATCTTCCACTGTTTGGACTTCAGGAACAAATGGCTTGGGCATGTAGTCTTCCTCCTTGGTCTCTGTTAATTGCAATGTCATTGCTTCAAAGTAATCAATTTCCTTAAAAGCACTATGTGTAACCATCATGTTGGTGTTCTTGCATGTAATTTCTTTAGCAGATGGAGTACTATCTAGCTCGGTTGCACAAGAAGAGACCACATCAACAAACCATCGAAGAGATGTCAGAGGATCATCAGACGTATCACTGTGTCTTTCCTCAGTCGAGATGCAATGAGTGGATGATGAGATGGCAACTATTGCTTCTGCTGCAGTCCTGAGTAATTCCTCCTGTGTTTGCTCAGGTTTATGGTTAGGCAGCTGCGAAGATGCCTCATGTTGCTTCTCATCGTCTTCTCCAGGCAAATCATCTTGTTCATTGTCCATAAGTACAGGGGCTTCGAGGTCTATATCCAGAATAGTCTTCACACTGGCCTTATCGGTTACAGCAGAAACTGGTTCTTCTTCATCCTCAGTAATACATGAGTTCAAATCAAAGTGATTCCTGATGTTCATAGCTTTTGTCTCCATCACTTTCTTAGTAGCAATTTGTTCTACAACATAAGGTTCCTCAGCCTCAAGCATAGAAAGGTCACAAGCCACGTTAATGTCGATCACCATACTCCTCTCTTGTTTGATAGTTTTTCTCTCAGGAGAGGTACGAAGATTAGCAGAAGCAAAAACAAGTGATGATGACGACTCATTTCTGGAAGCAACGGGAATATCGAGGATTGGAACACCAAGAATTTTTCTTACATGTCCCATCTCGCACACTTCTTTTGCGGTCTTCATATGGTGATGTTCCAAAGCTGATGGATCACTCTGGCAGAAAGGAGAGTTTGAGTAAGCCTGGACAAATCCTGAATCTGCTGAAGTTCCACCTATCCTTGTATTGACGTCCTCATTTTTATAATTTGCTTTAGCTTTAAGCCACGGCAAAACTGTCACAGGGTCTTGACGCTCTCTTTTTTCATTACTAAACTCAACATCTTGCCTGGGAGGTTCCTCACTGAGTGCACTTGTTGCTAGCACATTTAAGTTGAAACCTTTTGCAGATTTCACATCCGTATTGTTAGAACTAATGAGAAAATTCTCGCATGCATTATTAGAGGAATGTTCAGATGTAAACCGGTCCCCCTTAATGTAGCTCAAAGAGTCAAAAGCACCTGAAGGGACGTGAATTGGTGATTCTTTTGTCCCAGATGAGGACCCATGGTAGAAAACATTTCGGTTGGGTATCCCACTGGGACAGCCTGGACGCACCCTAGAACTGCCACCATTAGCTTGCCAATAGTCTCCAATTTGTCTCTGAGATGACTGTGAACCCATACCAACTGCTGCAGATGAGTTGAAAAATGAGTTTGTATGCAATGAGGATAACCTCTGAGTAAAGCTACCGTTTGGCTTCTCCCAAGAAGAGACAGAATGCGGCCACGAACTGCTAAATTCAGAGGAACTTGCACATGGAAATGGACTAGCCATCTTGGAAGTAACAAATGGTCCCACTTGAGTATAATTAGACTGCTCACCATTTCTGTGAGACATATCTAAACTATGTCCTGTTCTATCTTTCCAAATGCCATCCTTAATATGGTGAACTAGATGAGCGCCCGGAGCTTGATAGGCTTTGTTAATCATTACTGGTGCTTGATGGGAAGCTGCAGGGATCTTTTCTTCTTCGAGACCTCTTGGTAATGAAACTGAGCTACCTTTGATATTACCTGCAAATTGAAGCAACTCAAGATAGGTACAAATGAATTCCGGAAGCAGCTAAACTCAAGAAATATACAGAAGTTTCAGAAGAAACTATTACCGGTTTCATATGCCGAAACCAACCACTCCCTCTCTTTGCCTCTACTGCGATTGTATAGGTTACTTAAAGACTCATTTGGGCTGGCACAATTGGAATTCCAAGGCAAAGCCACAAATGGTGGATTTGATTTTGCAGAAGCATTTATGCTTCTAGTCTCTTTATGATTATTACCGTAACCAAGAAAATCAACAGGATCAGTTGCTTCATCAAGCTGCGCTGGTTCATTTAGGTCAGCCAACCCAATTGAGCTTCTCAAACATGAATTGGATGTTGAAGCATCTTTTCGGCTATCACCTTTTGCAGCCCCATCAACACCAAGAAAATTTTTTTTTCCATTCTCTTGAGGAACTACATAATTTCCATTAACAGGATAACTAGGATGTAAAGATCCTGCATTATCTCGCAACTGCCCACCATCTTCTGTATCTATGTAATCATCGGCTGGAAGGTGAAGATCAAACAACATTTTCCGGACCTTTGAGGGCCTAGCCTCCAAAATATCACAGGCTTTCGAAGAATAACCATTTTGCATTTGAACTCGACCAGGCTGTACAACATCTCCTTTTGAAGAACTAAAGGGAGAATTAACATTTTCAGTACCAGATGTAGATGGTCTAGTATAACTAGAATTTTCCAACGGAAAGTTTGCGATGTGCCATTTCCGAACATCCTCAGATGGTACTTGAGGTCCTAGGTGACTGGATGAACATGATGGCTCCATTGATGAGCGATATTTATGCATTTCCTTCCTTTTAAATTCGTCCATCATGTCCCTTTGAATTCTGTAAAGGCGATGAAGTTCCACCACCTACAAGCAAACCATTGCATAAGTATATTTGTAACACCATTGCCACAAGGCAAAAAAAAAAAAGGATTACATGACAGATGAAGAGATTTTGAAGCAGGAAGGTTTAAGAGACCACGGCATTAGGATATGTAGAACCATACTGAAAACCAAAATTTCCAACTAACCTCTCAAAAAAGAAAAGAAATGGAAGCATTACCTGATTCCTGAATATGGCCTCGTGTTCAAGCATTGTCTGCTTTAGAATGTCCTTATCATACCCTGGATATGCATTAGTTGTAGTCCTCGGGGTGAAACCATTACAATATTGCCCGTTTGGTAATGTCTTATCTCCATAAGATGGGGTCCAACTGCTGCTGTTAGAATCCTCATTAAGGTCCTTCATAGAGTAATAGCTTGGTAGGAATCCTTTGTAGTGCACTTGTGTTCCCATTCCTGCCAAGATTTGGCATCAAAGAATTTAATTAAAACCAAACAGTTTATTCTGAATAAACTTTGAAATTGTTCTAAAAAGATGACCACAATGAAACAGAATTGAGATACTCAGAATCTACACATCTATTTACGAACATATGATCCCAACAGATTACAGCAAACACCAACGGCGGCATTATGTAAAGCACATCTATGTTGAGAGGGCCAACATTCCTTACACATTTAGCAAAATGAAGGTTAAGTGATTTAGACAGAACTTTGGTATCAAACACGTGCTAGGGGAGTGTATGACTTCAGAAAAAGATGTGCTGTAGAATAGATAAGAACAAGTAGAACACAAAGATGATCAATTGAGGAACAAGCCTAAGATGGTTTAGCTATATCCCACGTAGACCTCCATATGCACCGATTTACAGGTGCAACACCATGATGATTGAAAATAATAAAAGAGGACTTATCTAAATCACATGACGGTAGTTGTATCAGTAGACATACAATTTCTTGAAATGATGCCGGAGTTGGATTAAAAAAAAAAAAAAAAAACAGGCTCAATAACTGATAGCAGGGGTAGAGATTAAGACTAAGTTGTGGTTACTCTTACATAAAGTTCGGTGTTCCTCAAGAGTATTTTAGTTATGCGTTGAGACTTGTATGTTTGTGTAGGGGTAAGTATGATTCTCTAATTTTAGAGAACCCCTAACTTGCCTTGAAAGACAAACTATTTTTGCCAACTAGAGGATATCTTCATTGACGGGCCCATGGGTTATACCCTAAAACAGAAAAGAGGAAAAGGAAAAAAAGAAACTATTCTGCTTCAAGTAACATCTTTCAAAAGCAACCACGACAACTTTCCCTTACATAAATCAGCAATTGATATTTTATTAACATTTCCATATAACCGGTTGTACAGATTACAAATTAATGAGGCCAGATCAGCACATGCAAAATTATCTCCAGGATTAGCAGAGTTTGCCCACGGTGTCTGAACTTGTGGACTTCTTCTCTTTTGTACTCTTTCCTAAGTGTAACATGCAACAATTCTTGGATACTGGAGCATGTAGTCAGCATCGAAAGATAACTATGTTTATACCAAGTAAAACAATCCAAAAGACCTTTAAAGGAAAAATTGCACAAGAGCAACCCCAAGTACTGCACGCACTCTGCACGGTTCTCACCAGCAACATGGGGGAAAACTCCTTGCTTTTTTTTTCTCCTAGAGCATACTTTGTTAAAGTTATGTTCACACGCACCCATTTCAAGATTTCAAATTAATTATTCTGTATAGCATACAGTAACGAGGAACCAACTCTTCTTTTTTCCATAATTAATTACAACCACAACATAGTGCCCAAGGATAGCAGAGGAAACAAATAGTAATAAGAATTTCAGGACACCTTGAAGAATTTTATGAAGAGAAGATCAATAGCATAGATACTATCCTGGAAAAGACTATTACAGGTTGTTATTTTTTCCCAAAAAGAGGAAACGCAAAAAATTGTTCTGCTTCAAGTATATCTTTCAAAAGCTAACTTCGATTACTTTCTCTTTACAGTTTACATAAATCAGCAAGATTATCTCTGGGAGTAGAAGACTTTGACCACTATGTACAAGAGACAATTCTTGGATACTGGAACATGTCACCAGCATCAATAGAAAACTGTTGTTTCTACCGAGTAAATAATCCCAAATAGACCTGTTGTAAATATTCTTAGAAACCTAACCGTCAAAGGACAAATTGCACTAGAGACACCCAAGCATTGCACGCACTTTGCACGATTCTCACCAGCAATATGGGGGAAAACTCCTAGCTTACATCAAATTACTTACAAAATAGAATCAAACAATACAGCAAATGTAATACACAAGTAAGGGTAAGAAAGCAAATGATCAAATATCTGAAATGATATGAGAAATAGTAAAAGGTGATGGAGTACTGCTATCTGAAGCTTAGAAACAGAATCACTTGTCTGCATCACTAATGATATCTTCCTCCATTTCTTTCTTACCCTGTTTCTTTTAAAGTTCTTTCACACAGATAGAGAGAGGGGATGGAGGAATAAAGGGAAGAGGAGAAATCGACTCACGAGATGTAAGACGACTTTCTCTATTTAAAGATGCCATAACCTTTAGAGATGTATCACAATAAAATGATAATTAATGAACTATTCCTTCTTGATTAATTCGTTAATGTACCTCTCTTGCATCGAGTTTAACATGCGATGTTCTTGGATATTAGAGCATGTAGTAAGCATCAAAGAAAAATGTGTTTCTACCAACTAAAATAATTCCAAATAGACCTGCCAAAAATATTCTTAGAAACCTCACCATCGTGATTTTTAAAGGACAAATTGCATGAAAGCAACCTAATTACTGCACATACTCTGCACGATTCTCATAGGCAACAAGGACAAAAAAAACCTCCTAGCTTTTTTTCTCCTAGAGACTTTCAACATCCAATATGTGAGAATTCCATGGACATTTTCAATTACTATTCTGTTAAAGTTGTGTTCACACGCACCGGTTACAAGACTTAAAACTAATTACTCCTGACAGCATAGGGTGATGAGGAACCAACTTGTCTTGTCCATTGTTAATTAGAACCACAATGTAGTGCCCAAGGATACAAGAGGAAACAAACAAGACAACAGATACTGATCAAAATTGCAATTAATTTGGAAATTTGTCTCTAAGCAGCACCAAAATCCAAAACTATCCAATTACCGTAATCTACTCATGAAGACAGAAACAAGACTATCAGAACGCCTTGAAAAATTTTATGAAGAGAAGATCAATTGCATGGATACTAACCTGAAGAAGATTCTTTCAGGTTTATTTCCCAAAAAGAGGAAATGGAAAAACCTATCCTGCTTCAAGTATATCTTTCAAAAGCTTAACTTTGACGGTTTTCCCTTTACATAAATAAGCAATTAATACTTTGTTAACATTTCCATGTAATTGGTTGTATAGATTACAAATTAATAATGCCAGATCAGCACATGCAAGATTATCTCTAGGAGTAGAAGACTTTGCACGCAACGTGTGAATGTGTGGACTTCTCTTTTGTACTCTTTCCTAAGCTTAACATGAGACAATTCTTGGATACGAGAACATGTAGTCAACACCTTCCCCTTCGCACTTCGCTCACCCTATCCATCCGTGCGCTGACAGGTAGGGCTTATCTATGTGATTCGCTACGCTTGCCTGCGCCTATCGGCTGATTCTATTGCCTGCCGGTTAGCGAAACTTTTCCGGTAGTCAAAAGATAATTGTGTTTCTACCAAGCCCTTATAAAATAATATTTAAAAACCTGTATTTCTACCAGGTAAAATAATCCCAAATAGACCTGTTAAAAATATTCTTACAAAAACCTTGCCATCATATGTTTCAAAGGACAAATTGCACCAGAGCAGCCCGAGTAACGCACGCACTTTGCATGATTCTCACAAGCAACATGTGGAAAAAATCCTAAACTTTTTTGTCTCCTAGAGCGCACTTTCAACAACACACGAGACTTTCGTGGGCATTTTCATTTACTGTTTGTTAAAGTTGCGTTCACACGCACCGATTTCAAGACTTAAATTAATCGCTCCGTATAGCAAGGGTAGCAAGGAACCAACTCGCCTTGCCCATCATTAACAAGAACCACAATGTAGTGCCCAAGGATGCTAGAGGAAGCAAACAAGACAATGGACAGTAACCGAGATTGCAATTAATTTAGAAATCCATCTCTAAGCAACATGAAAATCCCCAACTCTCCAATTATCATAATCTGCTAACAAAGACTAGCAACCAATCTTGTAATAGCATATAAATTGGATTTTAATCTACTCCACTCTCACCATGAACTTCCTAAATTGGATTTTAATAACTAGTATAGGTCTTTCTTCTAATAAAGTCTCACTCTTTACTCATGCAATTCAAAGTTTAAACCATTACCCAAAACAACTCACTTTATAAGCAACAAAGTTCCAATCTTTTTCAACTGTAAGAGTAAATGAAGCACAAATCACTTTAAAACCAACAAAGTTCCAATCTTTTTCACTTGTTAGAGTAAATGAAGAAATCATAAACACAAAAGCCACAAAAAAGATCCCAAATAGAGAGGATCACTAGTAAACTCGAGAACTTAATCAAATCTACAAATAACATTAAAAAAATGTATAAACACAATTACCCATAGAATCTAAAACCAAACAAAAAAACAAAATAGACTTATTTTGTCCTTGGATTTTTAAAGTCAAATAAGAATAAATCAAGCAAAATATACAAGAATTTACCTCAACCCCACATCTTGGCAGCACTTGTTCTCAACACCCTTTTTCATGGATTGAACAACACTTGCAGCAATTCAAGAATCATGGAGAATTGAGTGACCCCAAAAAAAAAAAGAAGCAGAGGAACAAAAGAGGACAAAGTAATAAATAGTACACTAATAATACTCCCTCCCATTTTACATGATGTAGTAATAATAATTATGAAAGAATTAGAAGAAAAGAACAAAGTGGGTAGTTTGCTAACACCATTGAAGAAACTCAGATCCTCATAAAACTGAAAAAAGATTGGAGATTTCGATTTGCTGGGGCCACAACTTCTCAGAAACAAAGAAAAAGAAAGCTCTTTTTTTTTAGAGAGAGAAGGGAAAATCAAGAAGAAGAGAGAGAAAGACACAAGTTCTATGAGACTTCAAAGGTTGTGTAGTACTATATTTTTGTAAAATATGAAGAAAGAAAGAGAGATCCCAGATAAGAAAATCTTCACACAAACAAACGAGGCTTCTGTAATAACAGTGGACATGAAATTTGTCAACATTCGGTCTCTTTTTATTCCTCCGTTTCAATCTATTTGATTTAACACAGAGTTTGAACATTACCAAATAGCATAACTAAATATTATTATAATATAACATGATATAAAAAAAAATCATTAAGGTATAAATAAACTCTCAAAGTAATCTTAACTTATGAATATGCCCGTCTAAATAGTTTAACTTCTCTACACTA